GTACCCAAGCCACACAAAGACACAACTAAGAAAGGGAACTATAGACCATTATCTCTCATGAACATTGATGCAAAAATACTCAATAAAATACTGGTAAATCGAATCTAAGAACACATCAGAGAAATCATCCACCATGACCAAGTAGGCTTCATCCCAGAGACACAGGGATGGTTCAACATATGAAAATCTATCAATGTGATCCACTATATAAGCAAACTGAAAAAGAAAAACCACATGATCATTTCACTAGATGCTGAAAAAGCCTTTGACAAAATCCAATACTTCTTCATGATAAAAGTCTTGAAGAGATGAGGGGTAACAGGAACATACCTAAACATAATAAAAGCAATATGCAGTAAACCAACAGCCAACATCATACTAAATGGAGAGAAACTTAACACGATTCCTCTAAAATCAGGAACAAGACAAGGTTGTCCATTCTCTCCATATCTCTTCAATATTGACTTGAAGTTCTAGCTAGAGCAATAAGACAACAAAAGGAGATCAAGGGGATACAAATTGGAAAGGAAGAAGTCAAACTTTCTTTATTCACAGATGATATGACAGTTTACATAAGTGATCTGGAAAACTCTTCTAGGGAACTCCTACAGCTGATAAACACCTTCAGCAAAGTGGCAGAATACAAGATTAACTAAAAAAAAGAAAAAAAAAATCAGTAGCCCTACTATATACAGACAATAAATGGGCTGAGAAAGAAATCAGAAACATCACCCTTTACATAGCTACAAACAACATAAAATATCTTGAGGTAACACTAACCAAACAAGTGAAAGACCTATATAGCAAGAACTTTGAGTCTTTCAAGAAACAAATTTTAAAAAATACCAGAAAATATAAAGATTGGCCATACTCATGGATAGGCAGGATCAACATAGTAAAAATGGCAATCTTGCCAAAAGCAATCTACAGATTCAATGAAATAATCCCTATCAAAATCCCAGCACAATTCTTTACAGACTTTGAAAGAACAATACTCAACTTTATATGGAAAAACAAATGACCCAAGATAGCCAAAACAACCCTATACAATAAAGGAACTTCTTGATTTCAAGCTCTACTATAGAGCTATAGTCTTGAAAACAGCTTGGCATTGGCACAAAAATAGACAGGTAGACCAATGGAATTGAATTGAAAATCCTGATATTAACCCACACACCTATGAACACCAGATTTTCTTTTTTTTTTTTTTTTTTTGAACACCTTATTTTTGACAAAGTTAAATTATAATATGGAAAAAAGAAAGCATCTTCAACAAATGGTGCTAGCATAACTGGATGTTGGAGTGTAGAAGATTTCAGATAGATCCATATCTATCACCATGCACAAAACTTAAGTCCAAATGGATCAAAGACCTCAACATAAATCCAGCAGCACTGAATCTCTTAGAAGAGAAAGTAGGAGGTACCCTTGAATGAACTGGTACAGGAGACCGCTTCCTGAACATAACACCAGTAGCACAGACACTGAGATGGGACCTCCTGAAACTGAGACACTTCTGTAAGGCAAAGGACACAGTCAATAAGACAAAAACAGCAACCCACAGAGTGGGAAAATATCTTCACCAACCCCACATCTGACACATCTGACAGCTTCTTGACAGAACTCAAGAAGCTATTCACCAAAACACCAAATAATCCAATTGAGAAGTGGGGTACAGAACTGAATAAAAAAGTCTTAATAGAGGAATCTAAAATGGCTAAAAGACACTTAAGAAAGTGCTCAACATCTTTAGCCATCAGGGAAATGTAAATCAAAACAACTCTGAGGTACCATCTTACTCCCATCAGAATGGCTAAAATCAAAAACACCAAGACAGTTTATGCTGGAGAGGATGTGGAGAAAGGGGAACACTCCTCTACTACTGGTGGGAGTGCAAACTTGTACAGCCATTTTGGAAATCAGTATGGTGGTTCCTCAGGAAAATGGGAATCAGACTACCTCAAGATCCAGCAATTTAACTCTTAGACATATACCCAAAAGATGCTCATTCATGTAACAAAGACATGTGTTCAACTATGTTCATAGCAGCATTATTTGTAATAGCCAGAACTTGGAAGCAACCTAGATGCCCCTGAACTGAAGAATGGATAAAGAAGATATGGTACTTTTACACAATGGAGTACTACTCAGCAGAAAAAAAACAACGGAATCTTGAAATCTGCAGGTAAATGGATGGAACTAGAAGAAACCATCCTGAGTGAGGTAACCCAGTCACAAAAAAACAAACACAGTATGTTCTCACTCATATATGGATTTCAGTCATAGAACAAAGGATCACCAGCTTACAATTCACACCACCAGAGAAGCTAGGAAACAAGGACGGCCCTACATGGTCCCTCACAGAAGGGGAAAGGGACAAGATCTCCTGAGAAAATTGGAAAGGGGGTGTAGGAGAAAGAGAAGGGGAGAAGAGGACATGAGGGAGCAGACAGATTGAGTCAAGGTAAGAATAAAGGAGAACTAGAAAAGAGATACTATAATAGAGGGAGCCATTATACGTTTAAAGAGAAATTTCACAGTAAGGAAATGTCTAGAGACCTACAAGGATGACCCCAACTAACAATTTAAGCAACAGTGGAAAGGCTACTTTAAATGTCTTTCCCTGATAATGAGATTGATAACTAACTTATATGCCATCCTAGAGCCCTCATCCAGTTGCTGATGGAAACAGAAGCAGACACCCACAGCTAAACACTGAGCCGAACTCCTGGAATCCAGTTGCAGAGAGGGAGAAGTGATGAGCAAAGGGGTCAAGATCAGGCTACAGAAACCCATAGAGACAGCTGACCTGAACAAGGGGGAGCGCGTGGACCCCAGACTGATAGCTGGGAAACCAGCATAGAACTGACCCAGACCCCTGAACATGGGTCTCAGTTAAGAGGCTTGGGCAGTCTATGGTTCCTCTGACAATGGATCCAGGATGTATTCCTAGTGCAGGAAAGAACTTTGGGAGCACATTCTCCATGGAGGGATACTCCCTTAGCCTAGAGACACTGGGGGGGGGGGGCGCCTAGGCCTTACCCCAAATGACTTGACAGACTTTGATGATCCCTCATGGAAGGCCTCACCCTCCCTGGGGAGTGGGTGGAGGATGGGATGGGGAGGTTTAGGGGACATGAGAGGATGGGAGGGAGAGGGAACTGGGGTCAGTATGTAAAATAAGAAAAAAAATTTAAAGGAAAAAGTCTTAATTATATATATGAGGTTTACATTATGCTTCTAATAAAAATCACATAGAAAAGTTTGTCATGTAGGTTACTATAATCTCAAATATATAGAAAAAATACGTATAGTGAGAAAAGAACAAAGACATGAGATGAACATTTTTATAGTAGTTTCTCATGTGAATGAAATAACTTATTCAACTAACTCTGACTAATTACATCTTCACCTCCAAGTGCTAGACTGACAGAGATGAGCTAATTCTGGCTTTATTTCCTTTTTGAGAAAGAATCTTATATAGCTCAGGCTGACCTCAACTTGGTACATAATCAAAGATGGCTTGAACTTCCCCCCTAATGTTACTTATTGTGTGTGTGTGTGTGTGTGTGTGTGTGTGTGTGTGTGTGTGTGTGTGTATATATATACATATATATATATATGATGTGTGAGTATGGATATGCCATGGAACATATTGCTGGATTGCTACCCACTAGAGTATGTGTGTGTGTGTGTGTGTGTGTGTGTGTGTGTGTGTGTGTGTGTGAGAGAGAGAGAGAGTATGTGTGTGTGTGTGTTTTTAAAACAATGTCTTGCTATTGCTTATACTGGCCTCAGATTCATGATTCTCTTGTCTTGTCTCAGCTTCTCAATTGCTACGATTTATGGGGTTTTTAAAAAACGATTTTTGAAAACAAGAACATTGTGGTTCATACCTGTAATCCCATCACTATGGAGGCTGAAGCAGAAGGATCAAGAATTCAAGAGCAGCCTAAACTACATAGTGAGTTTGAAACCAGCCTCAGCCTTAAGATCCAGTCTTAAAACAACAGAAAACAACAAAAAGGTATCTACAATATCCTGAAGCCTCAAACATCCCTCATTACCAGGGTAGAATATGAACAACTAGATATGAACAACTAGATAATTGCAATCTAATTCTACAATAGAATGATTTTTCAATCAGCTCACAGGACTTTATGATTTCTGTTTTATTACAAAAGTCATACTGATGTGATTGCTAAGTTAACAGATAAAAGTCACCATATTGACACTGTAACGACAAAGGCAAGCATCAAATACCAGGACACTTGCTTGTCTGTACCCATCTTCTAAAGCTCTGACCTGATAAAATGCAAGCAGATGGCAGCCCACAGACACCCCTTAAGGCCTCTGACTTGACAGAATGGAATGTTCTCTCTGATCAAGTCCTTAGCTAAATACTTCACTATAGAGAGGACACTGGGAGGCACCATATGAAATTGACTGAGTACCCACTATGCCTTCTGTCGGAATAAACGTTGAACAAACTGTCAGCCCCTGACCAAGGAACATTCTGAAATCCCTTACCCTACCTATGTTGAGCTCCAGCCCCTCCCTCTTCACTGCCATTGCCTAACTCAGTTATCCACTATTCACCTTATCCAGATAGCCTAAGCAAAGCAATTTCTAAAGATACAACAGCCTTGTTTGGACAAACTACTCCAGGAAGTAGTGTTTGTACACAGAACGTGAATCTGCAATGAACTTCCCATTCCCAAAACCTCCTATATAAACTCCAAGTATTCCCTTCCTTCTTTGCAGACTCTCCTTCCCTCCGCACTGTGTCAGTCCTTTGCTGTTTGAAATTAAGAGTCCCATCTGCTGAGGTCAGTGGTCTCTCTTGGCCTTCTGCCTCTTTACACTGCTTCCAAGTCTTTGTAAGTCCAAAAAGCAAGTTCTCTTTTCTTTTACAGAACCATAAGTTAGAATGTGGGACATGAGGAGCCTCAGGTCCTCAACAAAAGACAGCATTATGGAGTTAGTAAAGGTTCCCATACCTGAAACTTCATTCCTTAGCAAACTACTCAAGCTGAGGAAGTTATGGTGCAAAACCAGTAAGAAGAGAACAATGGCCAGGACCCAGATGATGATGTTTACTGAAACAGAGGAAATCTGCATCACATTTTGGCTTTGGTCAAGGTATATAAACAATGGAATTTGGAGAGAGGGAGAACATACCTTTACGGAATGACATCCTTTTCTTCTGTCTTACACAAACATTAGATACCAATCCTATAAAACAGAAGTCCCCAAAGTCAGGAAGTACATGAGAATGGTCATCAAAATACTTACACTCTCTTATTTAGGCCCTTATTTTAAAATTAGTAACTTCCAATCACCTAATCACCTGAAAAAACACTTTTTAAAGATCTATTTAATTTTATGTGTACATAAGTGTACTATTTATCTACATGTATACCTTTACACCAGAAGAGGGCATGAGATCACTTATAGATGGTTTCTGAGCAGTGTTGGGAATTGAACTCAGGATCCCTGAGAAAGCAGCCAGTGCTTTTAACCTCTGAGTCATCTCTACAGCCCAGAGCCTGAAAATTGTATGATGATCACAACAGAGCACTTTCATATGATATTTGAGAACACATAGCTTTGGTCAGTTCCAAGAGACTGAACACCTTCTCTGGCCTCTACAGGTACTGCATGTACATGGCACACTCACACACAGAGAAGCAGACATGTGAGTATACATACAAAAATCTGCTTTAAGGAAAAATAATCTAGGCTCAGTGGGTAAATACGATCTGCCCTTTTATCTCCAGCTCCATATCAAAAGCTGGGCATGGTCACATGGCCACATGCACACCTGTGACCTTGCTCTGTGGGAGTGAGGAAAAGATAGGACGATCCTCAAGGCTTGCTGACCACAAGCCTAGCTCCAGGTTCAGTAAGTAGAGAGGTCTCCTCTGGGCTCCACACCTTTGCATGGACAACACACAAAGACAGAACTTCCCCAGATTCATCTCTGTTAAGAAAGTGATGTCCAATACTGGTGCTCTCTAGTCTCCCTCTGCTCATTTGACACCTTTACTTTTTCAAAACAATTCCATAGAAACAAGACATGGAATACGTATTTATGTGACTAAATTGATTAAACACATTTTTACAACAGTATCTTAGAAATATTTTCTGCTGGGCGTTGGTGGCACATGCCTTTAATCCCAGCACTTGAGGAGAGGCAGGTGGATCTCTGAGTTTGAGGCCAGCCTGGTCTACAAATTGAGTTCCAGGACTCCAAAGCAATACAGAGAAACCCATTCTCAAAAAGCTAACCCACTTGTGCTCTGTGCTCTATCCTACAACTGTTTTAATGTAGCATCATAAATTTCTTTCCCTTCCTGCTGGATCACACACACAGAGGCATGCTAGCATGTTCTGGTGTCTTTCAGTTAGTTAAAGGCGGGGTGGGGGATGGAGGATGGACAGGATAGCACTCTGCCTCCTTCATACTAAAGGACTTAAAAGGTTTGAAATACTCTTCTCCCTGCCTTTGCTTCTGTTCTTAGATGTCTTCTCATTTTCAAACTGCTCTTGTGGAGATTAGCAACCAACATCATTATCCTGTCCTCTCCTTACAGCAAGAACCTCACTCTTCCCTCTTAGTTATGAAATTATCACATGTATATACTTGTAACCTATGGATGCAAGTTCTGTGGATACAGGAAGCCAAATGCAAATTAACTTTACTGCTGTATCCCAGGCACTGAAGACCAACCATCCCCACCAAAGAGCAACAGGCAAGTGGTATCCAGGAGCATCCAGTTCTCAGGTCAAGAAGAGAATGCAATCTTAATAATCATGGACAATCAATTTGTGCATAAGGAAAAGCATGAGATTCCAGCATTCACTTAAAAGAGACCCAGCAAAACCATTTCCTTTTCCCATCATTTTATATTTCAAACACTTTATGATCTCCACAACAAACACCATCCTGTGAGGTGCACTGGTAGGAATGAGGAACTACACTTGTAAAGCAGTGAGTCTGTTTATACATACTAAGAAATCACAGGGAAGGAGAAAGGTGGAAAGGCCCATGGAAACTTGTTGCCCTTCTATGTACTGGCTCTAAGGTCAGAAGTGTCAAAAGGGTCAGTGTTTTTCCAGAGGGTGGCAAAACACAAGAAGACCGGGACATTCTCTTCACCCTTTTGCTCACTAGGTCCTACTTGACCAAGTTCATGGCCAGGAAACTTCCCCAAAACCCACGTTGCACCTCCCTGCACTCCATCTCTTGGATGCCTCTCATCCACGACTAATTCAAGAGCCATATATTTCTGGAGTGATGTGGCCATCTCCCTTGACACACTCCCAAGATCTAAGCCACAGCTGTGCCAGGGTCTTTAGCTGGCAAAAATAAATAAATAAAAATGGAATTAAAAACTGGTGGTTCATGCCGGGTGGTGGTGCACGCCTTTAGTTCCAGCACTTGGGAGGCAAGAAGCAGGTGGATCTCTATGAGTTCTAGGCCAGCCTGGTGTACGAAGCGAGTGCCAGGACAACCTCCAAAGCTGTCTCGAAAAACAAACAAAATAAATAAACAAATAAATAAAAATAAAAATTAGTGGCTCCGTGGCAGCAGCCACTAACTCCTGCCTGGAGTGCCTAGCGTCTCACCGTGTGTGCACAGCAGTCCAGAAAGGCAGATGGCCCCAGAGGGCGGGATCCCCAGAACGGGTTCCCCGTCTAGCTCACTGAGGTGAAGCTCGCTTCTGAAATACACAACACCCTTGACAGAGGGAGCTAAGGGAAACCCTTAGATGCTCTTTACCAGGGGGGCCCGGCCGGGGGAGTGTGAGAGCCGTGGAAGCCGGTGGGGTGCCTTAGTGTGGGATATGGGGCTCACTGCATGAGGCGTGGGACAGCTCCCGGGATGCCGCCACGCACTGACACGCCAGGTTAGAGCCGCGTCAGACGAATCATCGCCCTCAGAAACTCAGGGCAGCCACCTTGACCAGCGGGTGGGAGCAGGGGCCGACGTCCGGTCCGCTCCGCCCCGCCCCGCCCCGCCAGCTCAGCGCTCGCACTGCATGCCCCAGGCCCAGGCCCAGAGCCCGGCCGCCCGCCGCAGTCCGGCCGTGCAGCGCCCCGCGAGCTCTGCAGCTCTGCAGCCGCGCCGTGCCACAAACCCTAGCCTAACCGTGGCTCCCGCTCGCAGAGAGCCACGCGCGGCAGGCGCCACGGGGCAGCCCGGGTCCTCCCTGAGAGAAGGCCGTCGCTATGGAGACGCGGCGCGAGCGTGCCGGCGTCCGTTAAGACGGGGAGGCACGCGGTTTCCAGCGCAGTGGCGGCTCCGGGCAGCCAGAGGCAGCGGCCGGCAGGCCACGCGATGCTCTGACCCGGCTACGGCCCCAGCCCTCGAGAGCGGCGCGCCGAGCTCTAGGGGAGCGGAGGGACGTACCTCCTTCGGCGATGGCGCGGGGCGGGGCCAGGGGCTGTCCGCGCCCGCCGGAGACATCCGCTTCCGGGGCCACGGCCGTCGCACCGAGGGGCTCGGCAGGTCGGCCAGGCTACGTCCGGTGTCGCGGCCCGCAAGCCACACTGCATAAGAATCGGCTACCCCCGCTTTGTTGTCGGTCTTCTGCGCCCATCATGCTGGAAAGTCTGAGCTCGCTGCCCACCCAGATGGTGAGGGCGCACGTCCCCGCATGCCTCTTTGGGGCCTGGCGCCTTCCAGACTCCCGCTGGGGCTGCGTGCCCTCACTTTCCCTCCTAGGTCCTGTTCTTGTCCCCAGAAAGGATTCTCTTACCCATGCTCCGTTAAGATGCTCAAAGTTTCCTCGGAAAATCAAAACTTTGCTTCCTTATTGGGGCCCTTCTGGACCACTTCTGCTGTTGAGTTCTGCCTTGTGCCGATACTGAATCCCCCATAAGAGATACAGGCCTTTGGTAGAAAGACTAACTCCGCCCCTTCTCTTTCGTCCCTAGGATTACAAGGGGCAGAAGTTAGCTGAACAGATGTTTCAGGGAATTATTCTTTTTTCTGCAGTAAGTATTGCTTTTACTATTAATCTCGTAATCCTGTGGCCCTCGGTTTGACTGTATTTAATATACATCGTTTCTTTTCAGATAGTTGGGTTTATCTACGGGTACGTGGCTGAACAGTTTGGGTGGACTGTCTACATAGTTATGGCCGGATTTGCTTTCTCGTGTTTGGTAAGAAATTTGTGGGCTACAAAAATTTTGTGAGTTGGGAAACTTGGTTGGACCTAGTTGGGAGAACCAGAGTCAGCTCTTTCTCCATCTTTCCCATTAATGGTTCTGCTTTCTATTATTGGAAAAGTAGAATGTTAAATAATGTCAGGTGGTGTGAGCTGCACAGAAGCAGGGCTTTCGAATTTCCTTTTGCAACGTACTCCAGGCAGTAAGAGGAAATATGGCAGGGCTATCTTACTGTGCTCACTCTGTATCCATCTTTCTTTTAATTCCTAAAACTGTATGTGTAAACACTTAAAGTTTGTTCTAACCACCTGACAAGATCTTGCCTGGTCAGTTTGTTAATCTTTAGCATGGTGGTTATTTGGGAACCAGAAATTACATACAGAATGATCTTGTAAACTTTGAATGGAAATAAATGCTTGCCTTTTCTCCGTTCTGATCTAGCTGACACTTCCTCCATGGCCTATCTACCGCCGACATCCCCTGAAGTGGTTACCTGTTCAAGACTTAGGCACAGAAGACAAGAAGTCAGGGGACAGAAAAATTAAGAGACATGCTAAAAATAACTGATCCGAGCTTTCATGGTTCAGGACCTGCTTTTGTTTCCTGTGCGATGAGCTGAATTGCTTTCATAACCAAAACATGAGCTTAAACCACCTGTGTTCTTTCAGCACAGCTGTGTAGAGACCTAGTTGTCCTTGTTTCATTTCTAATGCGGTTGTATTTTAACTTATAACTATTTTATACCATCTCTTCATGATCTTGTTGTGGAGAACAGGAATATAAGTATGCAGTGCTTCTTTCACATGTATATAAAGAATAAACACCTCATAACTGGTAGTCCTCTATTTTCTTTCTAATACAGTCTTGCAGTAGGTTCTCACTATTTGGACTAGGCTGTCTCCAAACTCAAAATACGCCTGCTTCAGCTTTCCAAGCTGCTGAGATTACAGGCATATGCCACCACTCCTGGCTTGATAGTCCAATATGTAATTATCAAAATTTCACAATCTGTTATGAGTCATTGAACTGTTTTAATGGTGGGTTTTATTGGTGGTGGGGCTTTTGTTTATTTAGTTTTTTGAGATAAGGTCTTTCTGCATAGCCCTGGCTTACCTGGAACTCTATGTAGACCAGGTTGTCCTTGAACTTACAGAGATCCACCTACACTCTCCCAAGTACTGGGATTAAAGGTGTGCCCCACCCACACTGAGCCCAAACAGTTTCAATTAAAACTCGTGGCATAATTCTGTGTCCAATGGATCTTTTGTTGGATATTTTACAACACTTTAGTAAATACCCAAATTTAGACGTTTTATGCTTAGAAAATGTAAGCATCATCTTGTTCTGTTGCTGCAAGTTCTTAGATCTTTTTTTTTTTTTTTTAAACAAAACTTTTCATTTGGTGTTTTGAGACAGATTTCTCTATAACAGCTCTTGCTGTCCTGGAACTAGCTTTGTGTATAGGCCCACATATATAGATCAGAGGACAGATGTAGGAGTTAGTCCTTTCCTCCTGTGTGGGCTCCAGGGATTGAACTTAGGTTGTTAGGCTTGGCAGCAAAAAGCAGAAATCCACAGCTAAGCAAACTCCTGGAATCCAGTTGTAGGGAGGAGTGATGAGCAAAGGGGGTCAAGACCATGTTGGGGAAACCCACAAAAACAGCTGACCATTGGGAGCTCATGGACCCCAGTCTGATAGCTAGGAAATAGGCATAGAATCAAACTGGGGCCCCTGAACATGGGTGTCAGTCAGAGGGTCTGGGCAGTCTATGGGGCCTCTGGCAGCACAAATGGACTGGGGGAACTGGGATTGATATGTAAAGCAAGATTGTTCCTGATATATATATATATATATATATATATATATATATATGAGAAACTGAAACTGAAGGAGAAATAAGACTGTCCAAAAGATGTAGGGTTCCAGAACTTGCAAGAAATGAACTACTCAGGAAAGCAGGCTGTTTGCTGAAGATTTACCCAGCTGACAGTGGGTCTACAAGTTGTTCTCATAAATCCTTCAGAGAAAAATTAAGAGGCCTCAGGGACTAGGCTGTGACCCGAAGACTATAAGGTCAAGAAATTTTACTTTATTCAATACTTTTAACTCTTGGCACAATAAAAACAAGGGACTAAAGGAGACCATTTCATTAAAATACTGGTGTGTAATTCTCAAATAAAATGATTTCTTCCCTACAAACAAAACATTTGAAGCTGGGTATAGTGGTACACGCCTTCAATCCCAGCACGAAGAAACAGGAAGATCTCTTGTGAGTTTGAGTCCAGCCTGGTATACATGGTGAGTTCCAGGACAGCCAGAGCTACATAGTGAGACTGAGAAAACAAACAACCAAAACTATTTAGAATAATTTTCAGTCCTTTAAATATAAAGGTTATAAGGCTGTAGAGATGGCTCAGTAGTTGAGAGCAGTTCCCAGTACCCACATCAGGTGGCTCACAACCATCTGCAAAGCTGTGATGTGGGATGTCCTGCATGCAGTGAATATGTGTTGCTTTTATTGGTTGATGAACAAACCTATCTTGGCCAATGGACAGGCAAAATATAGGTAGGCAGGAATTCCAAAGATACTTAGAGAAGGAAGGTGGAGTTAGAGAAGCCACGTAGCTGCTGGGGAAGCGAAATGCCAGGGCATTACCAGTAAGCCACTGCCACACGGTGATATACAAGTTAGCAGTAATGGGTTAATTTATAAGAGAGCTAGCCAAAAATAAGCCTAAGTCATTGGCCAGACAATTATAAATATATATTAAGTCTCTGAGTGGTTATCTTATAGTAGCTGCAGGTCAAGAGGGACTGGGCTACATGGGAACAAAGTCTCCTCTACAAAGCCAAATGCAGGGAATCCAACACCCTCTTCTGGCTTCCTCGGGTACCTACACATACACACACACACACAACACAAATTAATCTTAAAAAGAAAATTTACTAAAGACATTTTATTTATAAAATATTTCTAGATGGACATTACTTTCTACATAACTAACAACATGTGATATACAATATGACTTTTTTTTTTCTTTTTTGAGATGAGGGTCTCTAGTATGAGCTGACCTTGAACTTGCTTTGTCGTCCAGGCTAGCACTGAACTCATGACCCACCTGTCTATGTTTCTCAGGTGCTAGGATTCAAGTGTGCACCACTGCATCCAGCATTACAGTCACACATTTAAAACTGAACTTTATTGTACATAAAAACAAACATTGCAGGTATCCAATAGAACTAAGCACATGGACTTTCCTTAGACAATGCGTAGTTGAAAGAGAAATTCATGTTTAAGAGATGGTTTTGCTGGTGGAAAAAAGAAACCAAACATGTTAAGTCATAATGAGTTACAAAGATATAATTTAGACTGAACAAGAGTTCTAAGAGTCTAAAGACTGAACCTCACTAAGGTTAAGATTAAATGAAAATCTTAAACATCCATTTATGTATATAAAAAAAAAAGTTGTTCAATCTATTCTCAGAATAGTGAGTTGACATTAGAGAATAAACATCACTGCTCTCTAAAGTTATAAACAATAGCAAGTATTACGAGATGTCAGTTGTTTCTCCTGTTTTTATCACTCTAGTACAATGTTTCTGGCCCCATTTCAAGCTAGTTAATATCTTAAAAAAAAAATAAACTAGATATAAAGTTGGTTTAAGGCTCAGTAAACAGTAACAAACAAATATAACATTTTTCCTCATAAAAATAAAAATGATATTCAAAGGGTTTTCTTTTGTGGTCTTGTTTCACATTAGTCGACATTGTCCAATATTTTATAGTAGGAAGACCCCAAAGAGACAGTGAAGGACAGGAGTGGTCTCTGAATAACCAAAACAGGTTTTTTTGTTTTGTTTTGTTTTGTTTTGTTTTGTTTTGTTTTTTTTAGACGAGAAACCTCTGAAAATAGGCTCCAGTTCTGGCAGCATGTTAGAACAAATCTCAAAAATTCACATTTTCTTCAAAAAACTTCAACTGGCGAGCTTTCACACTGTAAGTTGTATACTTGTCCCCCATGTGTGCCCGTAACCGTACCTATTTGAGAAACAGACAAGAAAATCAGTATATGACAAAAATGATTCCTGCAATCTTTAAAACAAAGGTTTTCCTAAGTATCACACTGTAAGAAACAGGTCGTTTCAGTAGAAAGTGCCTTAGAGGTCACCATTTCAGGTAAGCAGGAGGCACTGAGCTCCACGCTGGCTGCCGATACCTTCTTGTCTCAGAACTCGAAGAGGTAGGAAGCTTCAGGCAGTTGGCTACAAAACAGTCCACTGTCAGAAAAGGGGTCAGTCTCAAGCCCCAGATTATTCATTAGGTAAGCTAAACTAATAAGGTGGAGAATTTCTTGGTTTGGAACTTTAAAAACCACTGTCTCGTGCCAAATCAGTACACCAGTCACTTGTGCTTTTTGTCTATGCTTTGTCCTTTTCTGCAGACCCATACATTAAGAACTGGTTCATCTTCACTACTCTCCTGAATTTGCTGTCTAATTTCCAACAACACCAAGGAGAAAACCATATGGGGAAATACTACCAGTTCTGTTTACATGAAATGACTGTGTGTGTATGATCTGTGCACAACTGTGTGAGTTCAAGCATGCCGTGGTGCATATTCGGAGGTTAGAGGGCAGCTCCATGCACTTGGCCTCCATCTTTACATGGCAAGAGCTTTCCCTACTGAGCCATCATGCCAACTTCTTCTACATTTAATTTCAAAGCTTCAAATCCAGATCTGAGTCACATCTACTCAAGCTCAAGGCCTGCCTGAGAGAGATTGAAGCCAAGCTAAGTAACTTAGTGAGACCCAATCTCAAAATAGAAAAGGGTGAGGCTTACAAGACCTGACTAGCAACCCAAAAAGGCATGTGTCAATATAGATCTGTTGAAATGGATGCTTAAACTTAGAATGACACCTAGTATATCGAATGGATATGCATATTCTCAAGACACAATATCACTTTGATGGTACTCTGGAAAAATACACAATCTGGAGGTGGAAGCAAGAGGGTTAAGCATTCAAGGCCACTGGACATAATGAATTTGAGACCAGCCTAGGCTACATGAGACCCTGCCATTAAAAAAAAAAAAAAAGATAACCTACACACCAGCATCAGGAGGCAGGGGCAGGAGGACTCCAGTCTGAGGCCTGATAACCTCTGCATTTCATTAGATCCCAGAAACCACATAGTGGAGGGAGAGAGCCAACTCTGGAAAACTGTCATTTATTCTCCTCCACGTATTTGCCATGGTATGTGCATTTATGTATGCATGCATGCATATGCACTCTCACATGCACACACAATAAATTAATGTAATTTTAAAAACAGGGCTGGAGAGATGACTCGGCAGTTTAGAGCACTTGTTCCTGCAAAGGACCTGTGTTCATTTGTCAGCACCCACATGGTAGCTCACAACTGTCCATAACTCCAGCTCCAGGGGATCAAATACCCTATTCTGACCTTGCTGGGCACTAGGCATGCCCAAGGTGCACAGACAAACATGCAAACAGAACATTCATACACATAAAAATGAAATCTAAAAATTATTGTTTGGTTTTTCAAGACAGGGTTTCTTTGCGTAACCTTGGCTATCCTGAACTTCCTTTATAGATCAGGCTGGCCTTGAATTCACAGAGGTCTGCCTGCCTAAGCCTCCTGAGTGCTGGGATTAAAGTGCCATCACTGCCTAGCTCTAAATATATATATATATATATACACACACACACACATATATATACACATATGTATATGTATATATATTTAAAAGATTTATTTAAAAAAAAGAAAAATATTTATTTAAGAACATTTAATAAGGGCTGTAAAGTTGGTTCACTAGTTATGAACAGCTTTTCCAGAGATCCTGTGTTCAATTCCCAGACAGCATACTACCATTTGTAATTTCAGTTCCAGTATCCAATGTCCTTTTCCAGCCTCTAAGGCCATCAGGACTACATACATGCAGGTAAAACAGCCATACATGTTAAACAGAATAAAACACAGTCAAAGCTAAATTAAAATACCTTAAAAAAGAACATCTAATAAAGTTGGGGAAAAAATGTGTCTCAGTATGTAAATCCCAGTAAACTGCCATCAAACAAGTACATAGGCCTCCTTGCTCCCAGGTGGAATTTTATATCTCTGGAAGAAGCAGGATATCAACATGTCGTCTATCATCCTACTGCAAAACTGACTCTAAAATTCATGAGCGTTCAGCCAAGAAGCAAGAGTTCTTCTTCTGCCCAGCATGTATAGGTCAGAGATTGACCGTGGGTGCACCTACACCTTTGTCCTAAACCACACAGTATCCCAAAGGAAACCAGAGACTACCCCCATCCTCTTCTCCTCCACCAGTCAAATGCCCCAACCACCACCACCACCCCTGCCCACTACCCCCTGCCTCTTTTTCAGACAGATCTTATATTGCCCAGCTGATCTGAAACACTTGAAATCAAGTGACCTCCTGCCATAGCCTTCTGAGTATCTGGGACTACAAGCAAGTGCTACCAAACTTTACAAAATTTTAAACAGGTCAAGTAAGAAAGAAGATTCAAAATATGAAAATTAGAAATTAAAATGGAGATATTACTTTCAATTCTATACAAATAAAAATATTGAAACAACTATAAATGATTTACAACAATCAAATTCATAACCCAGTTGAAACTTGAGAAATTCCTAAAAAATAAGCAACCTACCAAGACTGACTCACAAACAGAAAATCTATATAGGTATAGGCTCATAGTGTAAGGACTGAATACAACATTGCCATACATTAAAAGATCCATTTGCAAATGTTATATATGATGAGAAACTTGTATCCAGAATATATAAAAACTTGACAATTTAAAGGTTAATAGCCCAAGTTTAAAATAAACATTTCTCTAAGGAAACTATGCAAAATTGTTAAGAGTATATGAAAATATACACATCATTCATCATCAGGGAACTATAACCCAAAGTTACGATGGATACCATTTTATACCACTAGAATGGCTATAATCAATCAAACAATAACAAGGATTGACAATAACAAGGTGTGGAGAAAAAGGAAGCTCATATCTTACACTGTTGTGGGAATATAAAAGGGTGTAGTCACTTTAGGGAACATTCTGGAACTGCCCAAACATTTCAATAAAGCTACTGTATTATCAAGCAACTTCACTCCTAGAGGAATGTACAAATCCAAGAAAAGTGAAACCTCACAAAAACTTGTCCATGAGTGTTCAGAAGAGTTTAAAAAAAAAAAAAAAAAAAAGGAAACCAGACAAATATCCATCAGCTGATGAGTAAACAAAATCCATAGGATAATATATATGGCCATGAAAGTTTGAAGTACTGGTACATATTATAACATGGATGACTCTTCAAAATATTACATGGAGAGAAAACAAAAGATCACTTATATGAGATTCTATTTATACAAATTGTCCAGAATAGGAAACATATGCAGAGAGAATTATTTGTGACTGCTGTGGGGGTAGGTGGGGACTAAGGAGACAATAGTGAATACTTCTAATGGTATCAGGTTCTGTGGGGAGCAGTGAAATGTTCAAACACTGATTGTTGTTAAGTATGAGTTTTCTGGCCTGTCAGGGTCCCGCTGCCCTTGAGCCCACATAAACACACAAAGACTTACATTACTTATAAACTGTTGGCTGGTAGCCTGGGCTTCTTTTTGGCTAGCTCTGTCTTAATTATTAACCCATTTCTATTAATCTATGTATTCCCACATGGTCTTGGCTTACCAGAGAACACCTGGCACTTCCTCTCTTCCCAGCCTCCCATGGCATCTGTTTCTGCCTACCTTTCCAAGAATTCTTCTCATTTCCTAGTCCTGCCTATCTTCCTGCCGCTAATCAGTGTATTATTCATCAACCAATAAGAGAAACATATATATAGAAGAACAACTCCCATCAGATTGTGATGATGACTGAACGTGGAAAATTACTGAAATGTATAACTTCAAACAGGCAGGTTGCATGGTATATGAATTACATTTGAAAACTACCTTTAAAAGTTTGTAACATGGCAATGGGCCAGACCACCAGGACCAGGAGAGCTTGAGCCCTGCAGGTCATGCCACCAGCCAGGAGAACATCAGTGTGGAGGGCCAGACATCAGCAGTGGCCTCCAGAAACTGGAACCTCAGCCTCAGCCCCACCTGCACATGAAGGAAGCATCACCAGAGGCTCCACCCTGCCTGCACCTGAGGAGAGTTCAATGCAACCAAATGGAGGATGAGGAACCCCCTGAAACACAGGCTCCACCGTACTGATTGAAGCAAGAGATGAGTAGACAAACAGTGTAAGAACACAATAACACAATGAATAATACAACACCACCAGAAACTACAACACCAAGACCTGAACAGCCCAATACAGATGAAGCAGAAGAAAATGACCTTAAAAATAACTTTAGGAAGATGATTAAGAACCTTTAAAAGGCAGTGAAAATTCCCTTAAGGAAATGGAGGAAAAGACAAACAAAAAATTGGGAGAAATCAACAAATCCCTTAAAGGAAACCAAGAAAAAACAATTAAACAGGTAAAGGAAATGATTCAAGACTTGAAAACTGAAATAGACGCAATAAAGAAAACATAAACCAAGAGAACTTTGGAAATGGAAAATCTAGATAAACAATCAGGAACTACAGATACAAGCATAAATAACAGAATATAAGAGTTGGAAGATAGGATAGAGGGAACAGCATCATTGGTCAAAGAAAATGTGAAATCCCCCCCCCCAAAATATCTGGGACACCATGAAAAGACAAACCATGAGAATAATAGGCATAGAAGAAGAAGCCCAGCTGAAAGACACAGAAAACATATTCAACAAAAACATAGAAGAAAGCTTTCCCAATCTAAAGAAGGATATGCCTATGAAAGTACAAGAAGCATACCAAACACCAAATAGACTGGACTCAAAAAAAGTTCCCTCACCAAGTAATAATGAAAACACAAAACATACACAATAAAGAAAGAATACTAAGAGCTGCAAACGAAAAAGGAGAAGTAACATATAAAGGCAGACCTATCAGAATTATGCTCCACTTCTCAATGGAAACGTAAAAGCCTGGTCAGGTGTTATGCAAACCACTAAAAGACTAGATGCCAGCCCAGACTACTATACCCAGCAAAGCTTTCAATCACCATAGATGGAGAAAACAAGATATTCCATGACAAAAACATATTTAAACAATACCTATCCACAAACCCATCCCTATAGAAAGTAGTAGAAGAAAAGCTCCAACCCAAGAAGTTAGCTACACCCAAAAGAATACAGGCAATAGATAATCCCACATCAGAAAATCCAAAAGACAAACATACACACATAATACCAACAATAACAACAAAAACAAAAATAACAGGAACTAGCAATCACTGATCACTAATATCCCTTAATATCAATGGTCTTAACTCGCCTGTAAAAAGACACAGGCTAACAGAATGGATACAGAATCCATTCTTCTTTATACAAGAAACACATCTCAATCTCAAAGACAGATGCTACCTCACATAAAGAGTTTGGAAAAGATTTTCCAATCAAATACACCTAAGAAACAAGCTGGTGTAGCTATCCTAATATCTAACAAACTAGACTTCAAACTAAAATTAGTTAAAAGAAATGAAGGACATTTCATATTCATCACAGGAAAAATCCATTAAGATGAAGACCAATTTTGAACATCTATGCCCCAAATACAAGGACACCCTCATTTAAAAAAAAAAAAAAAAAAAAAAAAAAAAAAAAATTACTAAAGCTTAAATCATACATCAAGCCCCACACACTAATAGTGGGAGACTTCAATACTCACTTCAATCTCACCACTGGACAGGACCACCAGACAGAAACTTAACTGAGAAATAAAGGAACTAACAGATTAGTTACTCAAATGGGCTTAACAGACATCTATAGAACATTCCATCCAAACACAAAAGCACCTCATGGGTCCTTTTCTAAAATAGATCACATATTCAGTAACAAAGCAAACCTCAATAAATATTTTTTAAAAAATTGGAATAACCCCGTATATCTTATCAGATAATCTTAGCTTACAGTTAGAATTCAACAATAACACTAATTACAGAAAGTCCACAAACTCATGGAAATTAAACAACGCTCAACTGACTCACCACTAGCTCAAGGGAGGAAAGAAAGGAAGAAAGAAAGAAAGAAAGAAAGGAATGAAGGAAGGAAAGAAGGAAGGAAGAAATAAATTAAAGACTGCCTAGAATTCAATGAAAATGGCCACACAACATACCCAAACTTAAGGAACTCAATGAAAGCAGTGCTAAGAGGAAAGTTCGCAGCACTAAGTGCCACATGAAGAAACTGGAGACTAGTCACACTAGAAAATTAACAGCACACCTGAAATCTCTAGAACAAAAAGAAGTAAACTCACCCAGTAGGAGCAGACACCAGTAAATAATCAAATCAAGGGTTGAAATCAACAAAATAGAAACACAGAAAACAATACAAAGAATCAATGAGACAAAGAATTGGTTCTTCAAGAAAAATCAACAAAATACACAAACCTTTATCCAAACTAACCAAAAGGTGAAGAGAGACTATCCAAATTAACAAAATCAGAAATGAAAAAAGGGACATAACAACAGACACTAAGGAAATCCAGACAATCATCAGGTCATACTTCAAAAACCTGTACTCTACAAAATTGGAAAATTTAATTGGAAGATTTAAAGGAAATGGACAATTTTCTAGATAAGTACCACATACCAAAATTATATCAAGACCAGATAAACAAATTAAACAGACTTAGAATCCCTATGGAAATAGAAACAGTCATCAAAAGTCTCCCAACCAAAAAAAGCCCAGGACTGGATGGTTTCAGTACAGAATTCTACCAGAATTTCAAAGAAGAGCTAATACCAATACTCCTCAAATTGTTCCACACAATAGAAACAGAGGAACATTGTCAAATTCTTTTTATACAGAGGCTACAGTCACCCTGATATCCAAACCACAAAGACACACCAAGATAGAGAATTACAGACCAATCTCCCTCATTAACATTGATACAAAAATACTCAATAAAATACTGGCAAACCAGATCCAAGAACACATGAGAAAAATCCACCTTGACCGAGTAGGATTCATCCCAGAGAGATGAAGGGATGGTTTAACATAGGAAAATCTGTCAATGTGATCCACCATATAAACAAATTGAAAGAAAAACAAAACAAAACAAAAAAACCAAAAACAAACAAACAAACAAAAAACATGATCATCTCATTAGATGCTGAAAAAGCCATCGACAAAATTCAACACCCCTTTATCATAAAGATCTTGGAGAGAACAGCAATTCAAGGAACATACCAATACATAATAAAGTCCATATACAACTCACCAACAGCCAACATCAAATTAAATGGAGAGAAACTCAAAGCGATTCCACTGAAATCAGGAACAAGACAAGGTTGCCCACTCTCTCCATATCTATTCAACATTGTACTCTAAGTTCTAGCTAGAGCAAAAAGATAACAAAAGGGGATCAAGGTGATACAAATGGGAAAGAAAGAAGTCAAACTTTTGCTATTTGTTGATGACATAACAGTGTACATAAATGACCCCAAAATTCTACCAGGGAACTCCTACAGTAATGTTGCAGGATACAAGATTAACTTAAAAAAAAAAATTGGTCAGTAGCTCTCCTATATACAGAAGCTAAACGGGATGAAAAAGAAATCGGACAGTTATCACCTTTTACAATAACCACAAACAACAGAAAATATCTTGGGTTAATGCTAACCAAAAAAGTGAAAGATCTGTATGACAAAAACTTTAAGTCTTTGAAGAGAGAAATTAAAGACATCAGAAAATGGAAAGATATCCTATGCTCTTGGATAGGTAAGATTAACAGTAAAAATGGCAACCTTACCAAATGCAATCTACAGATTCAATGCAATACCTATCAAAACCCCAGCACAATTCTTCACAGACCTTAAAAGGACAATACTCAACTTCATATGGGGAAAAAAAAAAATCCAGGATAGCCAAAACAGTCCTGTGTAATAAAGGAACTTCTGGAAGGATCACCATATCTGACTTCAAACTCTACTATAGAGCTTAGTGATAAAAACAGCTTGGTATTGGTATATAAACAGACAGGAGGACCAATGTAATTGAATTGAAGATCCTGATATCAATCCACACACCTAACACCACCTGATTTTTGAAACAAAAGCTAAAATTCAAAAGGGCAAAATGAAAGTATCTTCAACAAATGGTGCTGGCATAACTGGATACTGGTGTATGCAAACAGATCCATATCTGTCACCATGAACAAAACTCAAGTCCAAATGGATCAAAGACCTCAACATAAAACCAACCGTACTAACTCTCATAGGACAGTAAGGGGAAGTACATTTGAATGCACTGGCACAGGAGACCACTTCCTAAACATAACACCAGTAGCACAGACACTGAAAGCAACAATGAATAAATAGGACCTCTTGAAACTGAGAAGCTTCTGTAAGGCAAAGGACACAGTCAACAAGAAAAAATGGCAGCCTACAGAATGGAAAAAGATCTTCACCAATCCCATATCTGACAGAGGACTGATCTCCAAAATATACAAAGAACTCAAGAAACTAGACATCAAAAGACCAAATAACCCAATTAAAAAGTGGGTTCAAGCCGAGCATTGGTGGCGAATGCCTTTAATCCCAGAACTCAGGAGGCAGAGGCAGGAGGAACTCTGCGAGTTCAAGGTCAGCCTGGTGTACAGAGCTAGTTCCAGGACAGCCCCCATAGCAATACAGAAAAACCCTGTCTCAAAAAAAAAAAAACAAAAAAAAACAAAAAAAAAAAAAACAAACAAACAAACAAAATAAAACAAAACAAAACAAAAAAGTGGGGGTATAGAACTAAATAGAGAATTCTCAATAGAGGAATCTAAAAGTGCCAAAAGACACTTAAGGGAATGCTCAGCATCCTTAGTCATCTCTGAAATGCAAATCAAAACAACTGTGAGATATCATGTTACACCTGTCAGGATGGCCAAGGTCAAAAACACTTGTGACGTTGTATGCTGGAGAGGATTCAGAAAAAGGGGAACACCCTCCATTGTTGGTAGGAGTGGAAACTTGTACAGTCATTTTGGAAATCAGTATGGCAGTTTCTCAAAAAATGGGGAATCAATATATCACAAGACCTAGCAATACACTTTTAGGCACACACCCAAAGGGTACTCACTCATACCACAAGGTCATTTGTTCAACTATGTTCATAGTAGCATTAGTCGTAATAGCCAGAAGCTGGAAACAACTTAGATGTCCCTCAACTGAAGAATGGCTAAAATGTGGTACATTTACACAATGGAATACTACTCAATGGTTAAAAAAACAAAGACATCTTGAAATTTGCAGGCAAATGGACAGAACTAGAGAGCACCATTCTGAGTGAGGTAATTCAGACCCAGTAAAACAAATATAAACATGTACTCACTCATAAGTGGATATTATACATAGAGCAAAAGATCACCAGCCTACAGGCCAAAACCCCAGAGAAGCTGGGCAAAAAAGAGGAGTTTAAGAGAGACATACATGGATCTGCCTAGGAAGGGGAAAAAGACAAGATCTCTTGAGTAAACTGGGGACAAGAGGAAGGGTGGGATGGGAGAGGGGAGGGAGGAAAGAGAGTGGGGGAAAATGTATAGCTCAATTTTTTTTTTTTTAAAGTCTATAACACAAGCAGCTTGACATGGCTTAAGACACCTACCTCTCTCTCTAATTCATCTTCCTCCTCCTCCAAAAGATCATACACCTGTTCTAGAAGCTGAATCCCCAGGCCCTGGATTACATCAGCTCTCAAAACTTCAACTATTCTCCTGATCTTCTCAGAACCTGGTATGACAGCTAAAAATGTAAAAACAAAAACAGGGGAAATAAATACCACTACAGCAAAAGCAATACAATCTTTAACATTTCAGGTGCAATTATTTTTACTGCAATAATAATTTGGTTTAATGACTTCATTTACATAACTTTTTCTGAGCTGGGCATGGTGGCACTCACCTTAAATCTCAACACTCAGGAAGCAGAGGCGGGTGGATTTCTGTGAGTTCAAGGCCAGCCTGGTCTACATAATAAGTTCCTGGACAGCTGGGGCTGTGTAGAGAGACCATGTTTCCAAAACTTAAAAGAATAAAACAAAAGTATATATAAAAAAAATAAATATACCTTCTTGTATTTTGGTTTTAAAATTTATTAATTTCCATACAATAATGCTTCATAATGACATTTGCATATATTATCATACTTGGATCATAATTACCTCCTATGATACCCCCAGATCTCCCCTCTTTCTCACTTCAAATAGTCTTTTTTTTTTTATATTATTTTATATGTCGATCCCAGTTCCCTCTCCCTCCCTCCCTTCCCCCCATCCCTCCCTCCCTCCCTCCCTCACTTTTACCCTCTCTGCCCTCTCACATGCACACTAAACAACCTCCCCTCCCATCCCCCCACCCCAATTCCATATGTAGGGGAATGCCATCCAGTAGGGGTCATGTAGGTCTGACAGGTCATGTGAAGTAGGGACTAGGGCTTCTCTCCTGTCTCTAGATTAAGGCAGTTATCCCTCCATGGGGGATGTGTTCACAAGGTCCTTTTGTGCACTAGGGATACATCCTGGCTCCACTGTCTGAGGTCTCTTAGACTGCTCAGTCATTCTGGCTGAGACCCATATTCAGGGGGGCCTGAGTCAGTCCCATGCTGGCTCCCTAGCTGTCAGTCTGGGGGCCTTCAAATAGTCTTGTATCCATTTCCTTACCATGCTTACTTTATTATCATGATTTTTTTTTTTTTTTTTTTTTGAGTTGGGATCTTAGTCTGTAGCCTAGGCAGGCTACAAATTCTAAATGATACCCCTGCCTCAGGCTGCTAATTACAATGATTATAGGCATGAGCAAACTTGTCTAACTTATTTATATACTTTAGTTTCTAAAAAAACTATATTTATTTGATGGGAGATGTCCTTCTATATACTGTGAATATATGTTTCTCTTATTGATTGATGAGTAAAGCTGTTTTGGCCAATCTCTTTCCAAAAACAGAAAAGGAAATATGATATAGAAATGAATACTTTACATTGATATGGATTTTGGTTTATTGATACAAATTTAAGGTCAATTTTGTTATATGTATATTCTATTCTTATTTAGTATTGTATTTATACAGCTCATTAAAAATGTAATGTATAATACAGATTATAGTCACTTATAATAGTCAAAACTTATGTTAAGTTTTCTAGATATACAGAGATATATTTCAAATGAATAGATGTTTTTTGAAACCTTTCAAAGACCTATAGAATATGGCATTTTAAATGGTTTATTTGGGTTTTTCTTTACAATGAGGCACAACTGCTCCTGGAAACAACAATTACATTGGAAAGGAAGACGGGCATCAAAGAAACTTGTTATGGAGTTTGCCTTCAACATGGCAGGAATAGGCATTTAGATAAGAAACTGCTCTTGCCTGGACGGCTTGACAGCACACTGTCCAAAATGGACAAGCAGGTTACAAATAAAAAAAAGTGACTGCTAAACTTGCCAAGAGACAGAATGTTCCAATTCCCTACTTCATTAAAAAGTCTGCTAGACACTATGGCCTATGGGCTGAAGATGCCCCAAGGTTACAGAGAAACTTTGGGTGACTGTCCAGGCAGTGAGATGTCTCTGTCAATTCTACAGTTTATATTATATCCTTCTGGGGTCTTTGATGAAGTTGAAGACAGATAGTTATGGTTATGGTTTTCCTTTAGTTATGATAAAAGATAAGTTACATATAAAACTATGGGGGAGTTGGTGTGGGGTATGGGAGGATGGGAGACAGTGGGAACCAGGATTGATATGTAAAATAAGATTGTTTCTAAAATAAAAAAAAAAAAAAAACCAACATTCAGAGGAGGCTGCATTACTTAGGGAAAATACTCAGGGGCCAGCAAGACAGTTACACAAGTAAAAAGAATTTGGACCTAAAGTTGAATGACCTGAGTTGAATTCTGGGAGCCTACAAGGTAGAAGGAAAGAAGAACCAATCCACACAAGTTACCCTCTAGCCTACACATACACACACACACACACACACACACACACACACACACACACACACACACCAAATAAATGAATTAGTGGATAAGTTTATATAATAAATAATGTTTCATCTTAAGAGAAATTAAAAAAGAACTTTAGACTCACAAAGATAGGATAGACAGACTATTTTCTTTAAATTTTGCCAAATGCAAATGAACTAAATATTGTAACTATAATTTTTATTTGGTAACTGGTTTGTTACATATAATTTTACTATGTTAAAGTTAAAACCTTCCTTTTAATTTAGACAGGGTTAAAGTTAAAATCTTCCTTTTAATTTAGACAGAAAAGAGGAGATTATGGGAGATGTCCTTCTGTATGTTGTTAATGTATGTTTCTCTTATTGGTTGATGCATAAAGCTGTTTTGGCCAATGGACAGGCAGGATTTAGCCAGGCAGGAAATCCAAACAGGGATGGAGAAAGGTAGTAGGCAGAGTTGGAGAGATGCCATGTAGCTGCTGAGGAAGCAAGTGGTCTGGGCATCACCAGTAAACCAAGAAAGACCATGTGGAGATACACAGGTTACTAAAAATGAGTTAATAATTAAAAGAGAGCTAGCCAATAAGAAGCCTGAGCAATAAGCCACACAGTTTATAATTAATATAAGCCTCTGTGTGATTACTTGGGACTAAATGGCTGCAGGACCAGGTAGGACAGGAACCTCCATCCACATTTATTTTGTGCATGGGTATTTGCCTGTGTGTATGTCTCTCTCTGCACCACATCTGTGGTGCCTGCAGAGACCAGAAGAAACCCCGGATCCCCTGAAACTGGAGTTACAGACAACTATGAGCTACCACATAGGTGCTGGGAATTAAACCCAGGTCCTCTGGAACAGCAGCCAGTTCTCTAGCCTCTGAGGCATGGCTCCAGCCCCTACACTTTAAAAAAAAATCATTTTTGGTGTGCTAGGGATGAATAGAACCCAGGGCCTTGCACATGTTAGGTAAGTGCTTACCACTAAGTTTCACCTCCAGTATTTTTAACAAACTAGTCATTAAGCTTCATGCTACCATCTCCAAAATCTAAACTAACTTGAAGATCAACAATTAACAATTGTCTAACTTGAAGAAAATTCAAATTAAAAAGTTCAAATATTTTATGCAATGTTATAAGGCTTATTTATTTATTTACATTTATTTTTAAAAATCAATTTTCAAGGGGCTGGAGAGATGGCTTCAGTGGTTAAGAGTACTTGTTGATCTCCTAGAGGACCTGAATTCAATCCTATACCCACATCAGGTGACTCACACCATCTGTAACTCTAGCTCCGGGGAATTGGAGGACCTCTTCTGGGAATCCAGTTCCTCTAATCTCCATGGGCACTGCACACACACACACACACACACACACACACACACACACACACACACACACGTCCACAAACTCTAGCACACACACACACACACACACACACGTCCACAAACTCTAGCACACACACACACACACACACACACACGTCCACAAACTCTAGCACACACACACACACACACACACACACACGTCCACAAACTCTAGCACTTGAGAGACTGAGGCCAAAAGATCAGGGATTCAAAGCTGTCCTCAGCTACAGAGCACACTTGAGATCAACCTGAGCTATATGAGACCCTTCCTCGTAAAACCAAAATACACAGACACACACATTTTCATGAAACTTCAGAGGGTATCTATTGACTATATAAAATACACCTTTTTTGCTTAGGTGGATTTGGTTTTTGGTTTTTCAAGACAGTGTTTCTCTGTGTAATAGCCCTGGCTGTCCTGAAACTCACTCTGCAGACCAGGCTGGCCTCAAACTCACAGAGATCCACCTGCCTCTGCCTTTCAAATGCTGGGATTCAAGGTGTGCGCCACCAACACCCAGCCTAAGATACACCATTTATGTTGCTATCCAAACAAAAAGTTAAAACAGAAACAACTTGCAGTGTTAGCCTTGTTCCCCACTACCTGCATTTGCTATGCTGCTGGAGGAGAATAAAGGGTCAGCTGATGGCAGCTCTTGGCAGTGGAGTTCCACTTCTTCCGCAGCCTTGCCGTGAAGTACCAGTGTGTCTCGATACTTCCGATGAAGTCTGAATTCTGACGCTGGATTTAGTACTGGGAGGTCTTCACAGATCTCTTTAGAATCCATCTTAAGGGTTTGAGTCATCAGCTGCACCAAGTCACTCATTTCATTTGTATGACTTTTCCTGAGGGAAAAAACTCCTTAGTATTTTCCTGACTTCATGGCAAAAGTTAGACGTCAAAGGACCACTATGGAGTTCTGCTTGCAAAAGCACATGTGCTGCTGCCTTATGGACTGACCCTTCTACAGTAACTATAATCTTGTAAAATACAAAAACCAACTACAGGAAGGCAATAAAGAATGAACAAAATTGATAGGTGGCTTTAGGAAGGAGTCCAGTGTCAGACCACAGGCATCTCAAAATAAAGAAGAGCTTCAGGCTTTCTGACCTGCAGAAGCAGGGATCAGGGCTCAATAACCACTGCGAGTAGAAGGTGAGATGAATCTGAGAAAGGAGAGGACCAGAAAGAAGCAGTCCAGTTTTGCGTACAAATTTTACATAGCCATTTCCAAGTGATTTAATTTTACACAAACATAAAAGTCAGGAATAGTCACAGAAACACAGAAATACCAGCCTCATAGAGCCAAAATTCCCAGGGTCCACTCTACTCAAAACTGAAAAGAAGCAGGGGAGGTCACTTTTGTGAAGGGGAAAATGAAACTTACAGAAACAAACCTAGAAGTGACACAAGTATGAGTAGATGAGGACATTAAAGTAGTTATTGCAAATATGTTTCATATGGCTACATAGAGAAAAACATGGGCATGCCAAGGAAGCAACGTGAAAGACATGCAATAGGCCTATGTCTAACTTTTAGAGATGAAAACACAATGTGCTAAATGGCACAATGGGACAGACACAGAACAGGTGAGCAAGATCAAATCTTCCCTAGCAATAGAATCTACGAAAAACACAACAAAGAAAAGATGCAGAATAATTAGAGCACAACAGATACTGTGTGCATCCATAGTAGTCTAATACACATTTATTTAAAATCCCAGAGAGCAGTGAGACCCTGTCTCAAAAAAACAAAGGATCCCAAAGAAGGCGAGTGTGTGTGTGTGTGTGTGTGCGTGAATCACAAAAGCTGTAAGGAAAGTAACAGCTAACACTGGCAACAATGACAAAATTAGAAGTCCAGGAGTACAGTCCATAAGAATTCTGAAAGAAAATTACATTGTTTTCATAGAAGATATATATATATATATATGTATATATATATATATATGTGTGTGTGTGTGTGTGTGTGTGTCTTAATTTTGTTGTTGTTGTTGTTTGCTTTGTTTAGTTTTTCGAGACAAGGTTTCTCTGTGTAGCTTTGGAGGCTGTCCTGGAACTCTCTCTTAGACCAGACTGGCCTGGAACTCACAGAGATCAGTTTGCTTCTGCCTCCCGAGTGCTGGGATTAACGGTGTGCACCACCACTCAGCCATTTTAAATGTTTAAAAATGACTTTACATGTGTAGGTGTTTTGCTTGCATGTATGTGCATCACATGCATGCAGGGCTTATGGAGGAAGAAGTTGGCTCTCCTGCAGCTGGAGTTACAGATGGTTGTGAGGTACCATGTGGGTGCTGGGAAGTGAATCCAGGTCCTTGGAAGAAAAGCCAGCTTTTTTAACCACTGGGCCAACACCAGTCCCTCACAGCACTGAGTCATCACTCCAGCCACCATCATCACTCTAGCCCCTCACAGAAGATATTTTTAAGCTCCAGTGTATACCACTAACCATGTGTAAACAGGTAGGAATAGTTTTTAGACTCAGTTCAAACACAGCTGAGAAGGAAACCAAGAACTTACCCCTCCCTGAAATCCCCATCTGACTTCTCAGTTGAGCTTGTAGAAGAACTTAACTCATCCTCAGTCAGACCATGTGACTGTCTCTTTTCCTATTGTGTTGGGAAAGAACAACAAAACCAGAATTTAATACTCCAAATGTTTTAAGTGTAATAAAGAGACACAATGTACCTTGTACACAATTGAAAAAGAGAATCTAATAGAAAACTTGAAGTTGATTTATTCAAATGGACACCAGGCTGTGGTGGTGCACACCTTTAATCCCAGCACTCAGGAGGCAGAGGCAGGTGGATCTCTGTGAGTTTGAAGCCTGAAACTCACTCTGTAGATCAGTCTGGCCTCAAACTCATTGAGATCCACCTGCCTTTGCCTCCCATGTGCTGGGATTAAAAGCATGTGCCACTATCACCCAGCACTGAGTTCTTTTCTTAATTAAAAGTGAAAAAGAGGAGTAGGCATGGTAGCACATGCCTTTCTTTAATCCCAGAAATTGGGACAGTAGTGACTGGAATAAGAATGGCCCCATAGGCTCACAGATTTGAACGCTTGGTCACCAGGGAGTGGCACTATTAGGTGTGGTCTTGTTGGAGTAGGTGTGGCCTTATTAAAGGAAGTGTGTCACTGGGTGTGGGTGTTGTGATTTCCAATGCTCTAGCCAGGCCCAGTGTCTTGTTCTCTTCATGCTGCCTGTGGATCCAGATGTGGACTCTCAGTTCTTCCAGAACCATGACTGCCTGTGTACCACCATGCTCCCCACCATGAAAACAACGGGCTAAAACTCTGAAACTGTAAGTAAGCCCTGATTAAATGCTTTCCTTTATAAGAGTTGCCACAGTTATGGTGTCTCTTCCTAGCAATAGAACATTAAAATATATACTGAGACAAGAGAATGATGAGTTCAAGGTCATCCTGGGCTATACAGCAAGATTTTACATTAAAATGAACCAAGTATGGTAGTTTATGCCTATATTCTCAACACCTGGAACATAGAAGCAGGAGGATCTGGAGGGAACCCTCAGTTACACAGTAAGTTCTAGGTTGGCCTCAGCTACTGAGAGCCTGTCTCCAAAAAGGAATAATTTAGTCAGCAATGTCCCTAAAAAATGATGCTGATATCTGTGAAGTTTACTGTACTAGGTTTTCCAGTAATAGACACATGTACATTTTCCCTCAGCAGTGTGTGATGCACCTGAGTGATGTTGGAGTGAGAAGAGAATCGTCGGGCAGGGATAGGTTGGTCTTCTTCCCGTGGTTTCACTGGTCCCACTGTGCTTGGAGTTCTCCGAACTGATGGGCCTGAAAATATGAACACCCCAGCAGCTGTTTGTGGTGTGTTGGACTCAACTAAGGAGGACTTTGTACTGCATACAGAAGATACCATAGGAAGAGTCAGCCAGAGTAACCCAAATAGCACAGTCATCATCATTCTGGTATCTGTCATTTTAGTAACCATTTAGTCCTGGGTTTACCAGATTTGAAACTCGGGCAAGTCATTTAACTTTATGGAACTACCTTTTGGCATGACTATAAATATGTAACAAGATACTACCCTTCACACATTTACCATAATGCTGGAGACACAGTCACTGCTAATAAAGGAAAACTAGGAACACAACTTTTAGATGATGGTACTAAGAATAAACCACAGAGGGGCTGGAGAGATGGCTCAGCAGTTAAGAGTACCTCATGCTCTAGCTGGAGACTTGAGTTGTTGCCAGCACACACATGGTAGCTCATAACCATTCATAACTTCAGTTTCAGGTAAATCAGTGACTTCTAATCTCTATGGGCACTAGGCATGCAAGTGGCTTGCATACATACATGCAATTAAAACACTCATACACATAAAATAAATCTAAAGACAATTTTAAAAACAGAATTATTAATTGACCCAAGCAACATACACCTTTAAATCCAACACTTAGGAGGCAGTGGCAGATGGATTTCTATATGTTTAAGACTAGCCTAGTCTACATAGTAAGTTCCAGGCCAGGCAAGGCTTCCACAGTGAGATCCTGTTTCAGAAAACAAACAACAAAACCAAAAACCCTACATTCCTTAGCTCAGTGTAGCCCCTTAAGCAACAGGTTCTGGATGGGAAACCAAGTTAAACACGCACCTGATTTCCGACTGAGATGTCAAAGTTCAAAACCCTCTGGCTTTCTCTCTCTCACTTAAATTTCTTTCTTTCTTATTTGTCTAAGATTTTTAGATTCAAAATCTTATTTTATGTATATGAGTGTTCTGCCTGCATGTGTGCCTGGTGCACATGGAAGTCAGAAGAGGGTGTCGATCCACTGGAACTGGAGTTAAAGATGATTGCGAGCTACCAATGTAGGTGCTAGGATCTGAACCTGAGTCTTTTTTGTTTGTTTGTTTTTTGTTTGTTTGTTTTTTTGACACAGGGTTTCTCTGTATTGCTTTGGAGCCTGTCCTGGAACTAGCTCTGTAGATCAGTCTGGCCTTGAACTCACAGAGATCCACCTGCCTCCCGAGTGCTGGGATCACAGGTGTGCACCACCAACGCCTGGCTGCAACAAGTACTCTTAATGGTTGAGCATCTCTCCACTCCCTGGCTCTTATGTTAATTCTGTCTCTGATACATAGTCAAGAGTCGGTCCAACATTTTATAAGATTTATCTAAGAAATTTCAAGAACTCTTCCAAATCTTTTCTCCAGATGGATTATTGCTGTTTCCAAGTTTTTACACCTAACAACCAGAGCCAAATCTTCTGACCAGCCATCAACAACCAACTAGATAAAGATGTTCACTTCACCTGAGGGGAGCTTCTCTTCCTGTGACTGCTTTAGTCGCCGTCTCTCTCTGGCTGATAATGGTCGATCCTTTGAAAGAAAGTCATCAAGTTATTTCTGTTTCTACTCACGTTTCCTGTAGCAATGCATGACAAATCATCAACAGTGCTAAAGGCCTCCCACTGGTCTCTCAAGGAGCAGAAACCACTTTGCATGTGGAGTTTGGTCCACACTAGGGTAACAGCTATGAAAGAATGATCACAGTCCTGGCTTCTGGAAGATATTCATCAAGAAAATACTTTTCTACTTCTCATAGTCAGAATCTAGTAGATTCTGACTCCTTGAATGATTGCAGGTGGCTCTCTTTGGAAATGCAGACCATGTCCATTATGGTCAAAGCTAATGCTTTGAAAGCACAAATCTGTCACTTCTAAAATGATAAGGTGGGGCTAATATTTTTTAAGATGAACCTCCACAATATCATAGACTTTATAATCCAAAGCTTAAGAAGAAGTATTTTTAAACTCAGCACACATTCATACAAACCTTGGATGATGGCATTGAGCTGATCCTTGAACTGTTTACAGACCCAGCCACGGATCTACTTTGGTTTTCATCATTCTGTTGTATTGATATGATATCCACTTTTCCCAGATCAGGGTGAGAAGGCAAAAGCCAAGGGGGTGATTCTTGGAACTTATGTAATGTAAAGAGGAATATATTATCAGTTCATATACAGCCATCTCTAAAACTTCCAATTGGCAAGTCCCTCATGCATTTATCATTGATTTGTCCTCAAAAATTTTAAAACATTATTTTGACAAAGGTATGTCCTCCAGGCTACCCTCAAATTGACTATAAGTAAAGAATGAGCATGAATTTCTGATCATATTTATACATTCTAAATTTTGGGGTCACGGGTTTGTGCCACCATGTCTGGTTTACTTGGTGCTAGGGAACTGAATGCAGGGCTACATGCATGCCAGACAAAGCACTCTGTTAGATCATAAACATTACCTCTACCAGTGCTGAAACCCAAGGGTGAACCTGTCCTCATACTGCCTCTTCACACTTCATCCTCAGACTGCCGCCTCAGACTACCCTGAGCTCCTGTCTCCTCCTGCCTTATATTTCTTTCTCTACCCAGTAATATCCCTTCCTGTCTCCACCTCCTTAGTGCTGGGATCACCTTTGTGTGGGTTCTGTTTTTTTAGACTGGACCGATTTCATGTAGCCCTAGGTGGCCTCTGTCTCCCGAGTGCTGGGATTAAAGGTGTGCGCCCCCACTGCCTGGCCTCTATGGTAACCAGTGTGGCTAGCTTTGCACTCTGACCTTTAGGCAAGCTTTATTTGTTAGATCATAAATAAAATATCACCAGAGCACTCTGCCAATTGAGATATACCAACATTTTAAAAAGCCAGGCCTGGGGCTGGAGAGATGGCTCAGCTGTTAAAGGCTAGGCTCACAACCAAAAATATAAAAAGCCAGGCCTGTTTGTGCAGGCCACAGTCCCAGGTACCCGAAAGGCTAAGGCATGAAAATCACAGTTTCAAGACCTGGTGCTACAGAGACTGACAAAAGGGAGCGACTCCCTGAGAAGCTCAAGGAGAGGATGTATGGATGTATATATCATACACATAAGTCACATGCATCCACAGGGAAAGGACGTATGGAGTTATATATCATATATGTAAGCCATATGCATCCACATATAAATGTGGATATATATGTGAATGAATATATATGTACATATGTATTTTAAGATGGCTTCTTTTTAAGATTTATTTAGTTTTTGTTTATGGTGTTCTACCTGTATGTACATCTGCATGCCTGAAGAGGGCATCAGATCCCACTATAGATGGTTGTGAGCCACCATGTGGAAATTGAACTCAGGACCTCTGGAAGAACTTGACCAATGTTCATAACCACTGAGCCATCTTTCCAGCCCCCAGTGAAAGATATTTTAATAAAGGCAATATTGAGGGCTAGGAATTCAGCTCACTGGCAGAGTGCTTATGTAGTATACATACGGCCCTGGGTTCATTTTCCAACACTGCATAGAAAAAAATATACATGGTCAAGACAATTTGTAAAAAGAAAATTCATGTTCAGCAACATAACACAAAGGAACCAAACAGGCTTTTCCTTTAACTTTCAAAATGGCATGCTCATTTTTGCCATATTTCCAACTCACTGGTACTTGAAAACTAGCCTTAAGCGTCTTATCCTTGCCCAGGTTCTCACTCCATCCTTTGCAACTGTTAACCATCCCAAATAAAAGTCAAGCTTCCTGGAGCCTGCCTCCCAGGCAGCACAATGACTCACTGCAAAGGGACCTTGGTCAGTCTGTTCTCTCTGCCTTTGCTGTTGAGACACGGAAGGTTCAGACACAGAGCTGTGTGGCTGGAATCTGGGGTGGATGCTGTCCTGTTTTTCTGTTATACATCCACTGGTAACTTGATCCTTACAAGGAAAAAAAAAAAAAAAAAAAAAAAAAAAAAAAAAAAAAAAGAAAGAAAGAAAGAAAGAAAAGAAACATATACAAAAGAACTGCACAGAATTACAAAATAGTTATAACTTTAAATGCCAAACTCTCCATACATACTTTTGGAATTGCAAAATGGAGGGCTAGAGAGATAGTTAAGCATTTAAGAGCACTGGCTGTTCTTCCAGAGGACCTGGATTCAGTTTCCAGCACCCATATAACAGCTTACAACCATCTCTAACTCCAGTTCCAGGGGATCTAACACCTTCTGGCCTCCATGGGCACACTGGGCACATACCTGGTACACAGACATCCATGAAGGCAAAACACCTACATATCACATAAATTTAAAAAAATAATGTTAATAGCTGGGCAGTGGTGACACAAATCTTTAATCCTAATGGGAGGCAAAGGCAGGAGTATCTCTGTGAGTTTGAGGCCAGCCTGGTCTACAGAGCTAGTTCCAGGACAGGCTCCAAAGAAACCCTGTCTCAAAAAACCAAAAGTCCAGGAGAGATGGCTCAGAGGTTAAGAACTCTGACTGCTCTTTCAGAGGTCCTGAGTTCAATTTCCAGCAACAACAGGTGGCTCACACACATCTATAATGAGGTCTACTGCCCTCTTATGGCTTGCAGGCATACATATAGGTAGAATACTATATATATATATATATATATATATATATATATATATATATACACTAAATCTTAAAAAAAAAGTCAGAATTAACTCTATAAAGTTACCCTCTGGTATCTACACCCAGACCATGATGTCTGTGATACACACACACACACACACACACACACTATAGATATATATTGTTTCACAAGTAATATTTTCTAAGGTAAACATACAGTTACATAAAATTAAACCCATGGCTCAACAATTCCATCCCTATTTACTCAACAGAACATAAAGGACAGAACCAACTCCACAAAGTTGTTTTCTGCATGGCATGATATGTTCTACTCCCTTCCCCCAAACACACATAATAAACAATTCTTTTAAAGTTAAATACAGAGTTACATAAAACTAAACATCAGACCCAGTAATTCTATTCCTATTTACCTAACAAATAAAGATATATGTATATATCCATAAAAATACACACATGGCTGATGAGATGGCTCAAAGGGTAAAGGTGCTTGCCACCCAAACCTGACAACCTGAGTTTAATCCCCAGAGCCTACATTACATGGTGGGCTGTCCCTGTGCATGGTTTGGTTGGCTCATTTTTGTTGTTTGTTTGTTTTCTTTTTTGGTTTTTTGAGACAGGGTTTCTCTGTGGCTTTGGAGGCTGTCCTGGAACTAGCTCTTGTAGACCAGGCTGGTCTCAAACTCACAGAGATCCGCCTGCTTCTGCCTCCCAAGTGCTAGGATTAAAGGCGTGCACCACTACCCGGCTGTTTTCTTTCTTTTTTTTTCCTCCAAGATGGGATTTCTCTGTGCAGTCCTGGCTGTCCTTAAACTCACAGAGTTCCTCCGCCTGCCTCTACCGCCTGAGAGCTCTGATTAAAGGTGTGCATCACCACTGCCCAGCTTTGTTCTTTTTAATAGGTGATGAAAACATTCTTCTAGTTTAAACTTGTACAACAAACAACTAGCATATCTGTATCTTTGGGTCTTACTAATAATTAAAAAGTTAAGACTTATGTATGTATTCATTCATTTCATAGGTATGAGTATTTTGTCCACATGTCTGTCTGTATACTACATGCATGCCTGTGGGGGGGATCTGGAACTGGAGTTGTGGGTGCTTGTGAGCCACCATGAGGTTGCTGGGAGCCAAACCCAGGCCTACTGCAAGAGCAAGTACTGAACCATCTCCAACCCATACCTACACTTTTAGAACCATACTTCCTATTTTTTTCTCTCTGGAAACCACTCCTTCTGTGTATCACTCACCTGTTCTGGATTTTGATCTTTATTTGGGGGCTGTGATGGCTTCACTGGCTCATTCTGTTCCCCATCGCCATCATCAGAGGGGCATCTGGGAAGCAGATTTTCATGCTGATCACTGGACTTGTTATCACCCTGTAGACTCTCCTTCTTGTCTTGAGAAATACCGCATTGACTATCTACTTCATTACAGGCATCCGAGTGTTTTGGTTGATTCTCCTGAACTATGCCATTATTTGCTAAGTCCCTCCTTTCTACAGGTAAGATATCAATATTTATCCTACTGACTGTGGCAAATGACTCTGCAGTATTGTTCATGTATGGTTTGCCAGTGTGGCCTTTGAGGCCAGCAGGTGATTTCAAGGGACCAATGGCCACTGGTTTCTCTTGGGACAAACACTTATCTTCACCCTGGATGAAAAGATGTTCTGAAGTTATTACAGTACCTCATAACATATACAAAAATTAACTAAAAATGGAACAGCAGGTTCCTCAAAAAGTTAAACATAGAATTACCATTTAATTCAGCAATTCTACTTTTTGGTATGCACTTTATTTTTACTATTTTTTAAAATTTTATGATCATTGAAGCTTTGCCTGCATGTATGACATCCAGTTCCAGGGTGTCAGAAGCCTGTTGCAGACAGGTGTGAGCTGCCATGTTGCTAGGAACTGAACCTGGGTCACTGGAAGAACAGCCAGTATTCTTAACCACTGAGAAACCTCTCAAGCACCATGGCAGGTACTTTAAAATAATAAAAGAAGGAACTTAAGCAGGTATATGGGCCACTGTTTCCAACATCATTAAAAAAGGGTGTGCATAGTGGCACATATCTGTAATCACAGCATCTGAGGTAGCAGACAGAAACAGGAGGACTATCATGATTTGAGGCCAGCCAGAGCTACACAGAGAAAACCCAAATATATTTGTATATGTGTATGTACATGTGTATATGTGTGTAGCATGATTCTTGTGGTGATATATTATTTATGGTTTATTAAGCTTGCCTGAGGAGTCAGAATACAAAGTCAGCCTCAAGCTATAGAGATCAGGCAGTGGTGACACACACCTTTAATCCCAAAAGCCCAAAACTAGGAGATGGTGGTATACACTTTTATTCCTAGGGCTCAGGATTAAGACATACATGGATCTCTGTGAGGCCAAGGCCACCCAGATCTACACAAGATTGATACAGTCCTAAAGAAAAACAGCTTACACAAAGATGATCTCAAAACCTGGGATCACACACCTTTAATGCCAGCACTAGAAAGGTGTAAGATAGGAGCCAGGTCTTCAGAAGTCAATGTTAAGCATTCATTCTCTAGCCACATTGAGGATAGGAAGACATTTAGACTCAGGATTCTCCAGCCACGCTGAGAAACGCCAGGGTCAGCCCATTCAGCCTGAGGTAATGCTAGGAGTTAGTGGCCACTACTTCATTTTTCTGCCCTTCAGCTTGAAGCTTAAACCCCAATATCTGTCACTGGGTCTTTTATTTTTTGTGTTAAAAACTCTATTTCTGTAAATTGTCTAAAGCAGGAAAATTCATTGATATAGAAAACAGAGGTTTCTTGGCTCTGGAGATGGGAGATAGGGAGTTGAAACTGAATGAGTAAGGAGTTTCAGTTCTATATAATGGAAGAATTTTTGAGGATAGTGATGATGGCTGGATCACAACACTGTGAAAGTAATAAAGGACAATAAACAACATGCTTAAGAGTTGTTAAAATAGAAGTGTCAAGATGGTTCATTAGCAAGAGCATTTGCTGCTAAGCCTGATGACCTGAGTATGACCCTTTAGAACCACATGGTGGAAAGATAGCACACTCCTACAAGCTCTCGCTTCCAAATTCTCTCTCTCTCTCTCTCTCTCTCTCTCTCTCTCACACACACACACACACACACACACACACACACCCCAAAATGAATGAATGAAGGACGGAAGGAATGAAAGAATGACTAAACAAACAAACAAACAAATACAAAGAAATGTTTTTCAAGGTCTGGGCATACCGTTCAGAGATAGAGACCCTGTCTACCATGCACAAGGTTGTGGGTGAAAACCCTACCACTGGTGGGGAGGGTGTTTAAAAATGAAGAAAAAAAGCACATGATCATTTCAGTAGATGCAGAAAAATCCTCTGACAAAAAATCAATTCCATGCATGATGTGGAAAAACAAACTAGTACTAGAGGAAACTATTTTAAGATAGTAAGGCATGTGTGGAAAATCTAAACTGCATATTATACTTAGTGACAAAATTGTAAAAGCCTTCCCTTCAAGATCAGAAACAGTGAAATTTCCCACTTTCAGTACTTTCACTCAACATAATACTGTATGTTGTAGCCAGAACAGTTAGGCTAGAACAAAGAAATGAGGCATCTGCATTAAAAGATATAAAATTATCTATCTGTATGTCATATGACTTTGTATGTGAAAGCCCTAAAGATTACACATACATCTACTTAGTGTAACTAATAAATAAATTTAACAAAGTTTTGTGGTTTTGTTTTTGCTTTGTTTTTTCTAGACAGGGTTTCTCTGTGTAGCCCTGGCTGTCCTGGAACTCACACTGTAAGACCAGGCTGGCCCTGAACTCATAGAAACTGCCTGCCTCTGCCTCCCAAGTGCTAGGATTAAAGGTGTGTACTACAATGCCTGGCTGATGGTATTGTATTAATATTTACTAATAAAAATGGAACCAATAAGACAGGAAGTAATATTTGTTGATGAGACCATGAAGAAACTGGAAATGCACAATAATATAGTTTCTGTGGACAATTGTGTGGTCCCTCAAGAGGTTAACACAGAATTATCATTTGATCTAGCTTTTACACACAGGCAGACAGCCCAAAAGAAGTGAAAACAGGTGCTCAAGCACTTGTCCTATCCATTCACAGCAAGACCCAACAGGTGAAAACAACCCAAATGTTTACCAATGGATGAGTGGATAAATCTTCAAAACAACCCAGACATGAAAGGCCACCTGCTGCATGATTTCATTTATATGAAATATTCAGGAAAGTCAAATCCAGAGAGACAGAAAACACACTGGTGTTTGGGAAGGAAGAGTGACAGCTAAATGTGCAAGGAGCTTCCTTTTGATGGTGAAAATATTATGGAACTAAAAAAAGGAGAGATAATTGCAATTTGTGCGTATGCTAAATGCCCTGACTGCCCACATTATTTTGGCTTCTGTGAGGCTGCAGAGATGGCTTTGCAGCTAATGCTTGCTGTGCAATCATGAAACCCACAGTTTGCATCCCAACACCCACATACCAAGCCAGGCATCCAAAACATGCCTGTAACTTCAGCTCTGAAGGATCCAGTAACCTCTCTGTCCTCCACAAACATAGGTGTCACACTCTCACACATAAGGGAATACATTCATATAGACACATACATAAAGGAATAAAATATTTAAAAATAATTTTTATGTAAATTTCATTTTAAAAAGATAAAAAAAATTGTATTGATTTTAACAGTTTGACAGATTGCTTTCTTTAAAATCAGAAGTAAGTGTATAATGAATCTCTAGAAAAGCATAGTCACTGACAAATAAAATTGTTCACTTAAATGACCTGTTGTTTCTACATTTCCTAAAGCATTACCACAGGGAACATACCGAGACTTGTGTAATGGGACCTTCAGAAGGGCATGGCTGGTAGTGTATCACTTCATGATTTGACTCTTCCTTTCTGGAAACTACAGCAGCAACAGGCTTGGCTTTGGAGTCACCATTTTTAATATTATTTTTGGAAGTTTTTCTTTATAGGGAAGAAAATAAAGTAATATTATCAACACAGTGATGATTGACAGTTTGAAAAAGTATGTGAAATTTGTATCTACAATACAATTACAATGTTTTACAGAGATTAGTCTTGTCAAAACATAAGAGAGCATTTCTAAAACATTTGTCTTCAAGAAATCAAGATTATAAGAAATGAGAAAGCAATCAGAGACCCAGAGGAGGGTAAGGAGATTGAAGAGATGTGAGAACTAAATGGAATATTATATCTTGGATAGAATCCTGGCACTTGAAGTGGAAATATTAAGAGAAAAATTAGCAAAAGCCAATGCAAGTCTGAGGTTAGTCAACAGTAATGTACCAGTTTTGTTTTGTTTTGAAAAAGACTCCCTGTGTAGCTCTAGATGTCCTGGAACTTCTGTGTAGCCTGGAACTCACAAAAATCTGCCTGCCTCTGCTTCCTAAATTCTGAGATTAAGGGCATGCACCATCATACCCAGAACTGGTTTCTTACTTTTAAAACAATCTTTTAAATCATATTATTTATTTATTTATTTGATTGTATGCATGTGGGTGAGCATATACATACATACATACAAATACATACATGTAATCAGAAGACAACTTGAGAGTTGGTGCTCTCCCTCTACAATGTGGGTCCCAGAAACTGAACTTAGGTCAGCAGGCTTATCAGAAAAAAAAACCTTTACTTTGTTATATCAGATCAACAGTCCTGGTTTCTTAGTTTTGACAAATACCCATGATAACAATCTAAGATGCTAATGATAGAAAGAACTAAATGAGGGGTATAGAGGAACTCTGTACTATCTTTATAACATCCTATAAATACAAAATTCCAAAATTTCTATGAGAAAGTCACTCATACCACAGAAGCATCAGAATTTTTCTCCTTTAGGTTTCACATGTTTACAATAATATATTATCATTATTATTTTGCAAACTTTCAGAGTAAAAATAATTGGCTTATATTCTCTAACTTTAGAGTAAATGTGTATAGAAATAACACCTTATCTGCTTAACATACTGTTTCTAAGACTGGGCTGAGTCTCAGGAAAGCATGGGGATCTGAGTAACAGAAGGCCAATTAAAAGTGATGAGAACAAGTTAGGCGGTGGTGGTGCCCTCTTTAATCCCAGCACTCGGGAGGCACCAACCCTTATATAGGTTTTTTTATTTCAACACTTATGCAAATTTTAATATTTGTTTATTTTTATGATACTGGGATTTAAATTCAGGGCCATACACACACAAGGCAAGCACTCCACTGAGGTAAATGTCCGGCCCATTTTTAATTTGGGGACATGTGGAATGTTCATTTATACTGTGTGTAGATGATGGGTTTAATAAAGAGCAGAATGGCCATTAACTAGCAGGAAGAGGTTATGCAGGACTTCTGGAAACACAGAGGTCTGGGAAGAAGAAAGGAGGAGTCATAAGCCAGAAGCCGAACAGCAAGACATACAGGAGGAGAGGTAAAAGCCACAAGTTACATGTCAACACACAGATGAACAGAAATAGGTTAATTTAAGTTATAAGAGCTAGTGAGATAAGCCTAAGTGATAGGCCTATCATTCATAATTAATAGTAAGTCTCCATGTCATTTTTTCCAGCTGGCAGCCCAAATATAAATCAACATATGGTGCCTAATGTGGGGCACATATTTCCAAAAGACCTGAGAAAGTTAAAAAAGAACAGTTCTAAAAATACAGAGTCAGATGTGGCTTCCTAGTTCCCCAGTCTCTTAGGAAGACTACATTGTACAGAGATGAGAACCCTGTCGCTGCCTATAGTCTTAAGCCACCAGCACAGCCTGCCATGAACTAAACTTCATAGTAGGTTTAAGGTTTGACTCATGTGCTCAGAGAACACTATAGGCATCAAGTAAAGCAAAGTCCAGACAAGGAAAGAAAAAAGTATAGTGTCATTAAAAAAAAAAAAAAGTTTAAAAATAGCCTGGTGGTGGTGGCACACGCCTTTAATCCCAGCAGTTGGGAGGCAGAGGCAGGTGGATCTCTGTGAGTTTGAGACCAGTCTGGTCTACAAAGAGCTAGTTCCAGGACAGCCTCAAAAGCCACAGAGAGACCCTATCTTGAAAAAACAAAAAACAAAAACAAAAAAAGATAAAAGTATTTAAAGAGAAAATAAAATAATATAAAAAGAATTAGCCATGTAAAGATGGAAAATACATAGAGAATCTGGATCTTAAATGGTATCTTGTTGACTTTAAACTTTTTGATTGCTGATGACTGATCAATAACTCCCGAGAAACACTGGATTATGGAAACTGCTAAATTAAGCCAACCTATATATTTTTAAAATGTCTTAACTTCAAAATAATAGTCAAAAGTGTGTTGCATTGGGAAGGAGGTTATGCTTTTGTTTTCACAGGAAACAAAAGACTATGGATTCATTCAAGTTTGATAGAGATCAGATTTGATCAGAGGAGCCCCCCTGAAAATCCTAGCTACAGACAGAAAGAAATAAACCTAGAAAAACTACAAGAGGGGTAACATATATTTTACCTGCTCAAACATAAAACAAAAAATCATATTTGGCTAGCTTGTATAAAATGCACATTCCATACTTGTGTTAATGCCGATATTTATGATTCCTCTGAAAGTTTGTGTTTTCAGAGCAAAGGACCAGACACCACACACACACACACACACACACACACACACACACACAGGTGGCTCTCAGAGTGCCTTTGTTACAGTTTCCTCAGGGTTCTACACCTGAGGACTACTCTAACCAGGACTACAAATAAGTTGTGTGCTTTTCCCCTGAACAGAGACCAAAAAACAAATGTTATGGCTAGTTTTCCCAGGACTTGACCATTATCTCAATCTTCTCAGGTTCCATAAAGATGTCATCACCTCAGATAAACGGAAGCAGTCTAAAGAAAGCCACACTCACATTCCCAAGAAGTGAGGTAGATGGGTTTTGGTCATTCAGTGGGTTATGGATGTTTGTCATCCTTTGGGGGAGTTGATTACAAGTTGTTACTGGTCATTGTCAGGAAATTAGATCCAGGGATCTCTTTATGATGGGAAAAGGGAATATAATATAGAAATAATATAATTGAAGAGTAAATTATTGAATCTACTTTTAAATTAAAAAGCAACTAAGTCTTAAATATTTTACATTGGTATGGACTTTCCTATATTGATACAAATTTAAGGTTATTTTTGTTATACTGGATAGATGTTTCTATTCTTGTTTAAGATATTATACCTATGCAGCTAGTTTAAAAATGTAAAGTTCTAGTTCTTGAAAGCTATTTAGAATAATAAAGACATACAGGTTAATAATTAGTCAACCTAACAATCAAACTTATGTTAGATATGCTTTTCAAGGTCATAAAAAGATATATTTTAGATAGGTAGGTAATCTTCAAACACTTCAAAGACTTACAAAATATGGCACTTAAAATGTTTTACTAACGTAAGGCTTTTTATGACAGTGAGACACGTCTGTTCCTGGCAGCACCAATTTACTTCTAAAAAGGATGAACTTCTATGTGGCATGTACTTTCTTTGTGGCAAAAGCTAGCCAGCCACTGGGCAAAGAAACTGCCCTTGCCTCAATTGCTGACAGTATGTTGTCCAAATTGGACAAGCAGGTCACAAAAGAAAGATAGTGCCAACCTTTGACAAGTCAAGGTAGGACAGTCCTTCAAAAATTTCTGCTTTATAGAAAAGTTTGTCCAATAGTCTTGACCTGTAGGTCAAAGGTGGATGCCCCAAAGTTACAGAGGAACCTTGGGGTGACTGTCTAGGCAGCCAAATGTCCCTGTTATTTCTTATTTTTGGAAATTCCACACTACCTGTTTACTCAAGTAATATTTATCCTTCTAGAATCTCTGTTGAGATTAAAGCCTACATAGTTTCAGTTTTACAATTTTATTTATTACCAAATTCAGAAAAGAAACTTACATAAGAGATACATTTATAAGGCTAAGAAAGATAAAAGCTTATTTATCTAAAAGGATGTTTTAAGGTCTAAAATGATATTTTTAGGATGGTGATACAAGTTATGACAAAAAATGGTTTAAGTATAAAACTTTGAACTAAGATAGGATAGATAATGGAATATTTTCTCTAACTTTGCCAAATGCAAAGGGTTTTTCTGTCTAACAGTCCTAGCTGTCCTGGAACCAGCTGGCCTCAGACTCACTGAGATCCTCCTACCTCTGCCTCCCAAGTGCCAGGATTAAAGGCATGCGCCACCACCGCCTGGCTAAAAAACATAAAACTTTTATTAAATAAATTGTGTTATTTTATTATGCAAGTTAAATTCTGAAGGCCAGGCCAAAAACCACCAAGAGGCTAAAAATTTGTCCTCTTACATATTCTAATCATGCAGTTTTACTTTTTGTTTTAAAAGCAAAACAAAAGCCATAAATTTTTACTCATGAATATTTAGAAGCCATCCTCTTTTGTCCCATTAGAGTAGAGAAGCTTTCTTTCTGTAAGGGAAGTGTCTTACGCTTTTGTGGCCTCCAAAAACAAGGAGATTTGGTGTTTTATATAAGGCTGCCTCAGGATGCTCCGCACAGAGGGTCTTTCTTCAGGCCTCCTGTTCAGCATTGTTCGTATCAGCTCTGCCAGCTGTGGACTATAAACTTTTGGCATTGGTGGCAACTGCAAAGAATAACAATACTGTAATTATGATTAATGACATTATAAAACAAAGTAAAAACTGGCAGGGACTTCCCAATACTAAAAAAAATTATAATATATAAAATATTAATGTTAATTTATTTAAAGTTATATAACCACAAAAGTAGAAAACAGCTAGCATATTAGTCTGTAAGAAGTGTCTTTTCTGGTTACAATAACAAGATATAAGAATACAATAGTATTCCCATTTGAGGACTGTCCTTCAAATAGGAACACAAATTTCTTTTTCTAAATTTTATTTATTATTAGCATGTAAATGTGTACATTAATAAGCATGCATACATTCAAGCTGGAGGACAATTTCTAGGAGTTGGCTTTCTCCTCTCACCATGGGTTCCGGGATCAAACTCAGCTCATCCGGCTTGTGCTGCAAGCATCTTTACCCACTGAACTATTTTGTTGGCCCAAGGGCACAAATAAGATTTATATACCAGAATATTCAGTACAGTATTGGTCTTGTAGTAGTCAGTAACTACAAATAAAGTGTTCAAGGATAGTGAACTTGGGAATAAACCATGCTACTGTGGTGGTCTGAATGTAATTAGCTCCTGTAATCTCACAGGGCACGGCACTATTAGGAGTTGAGACTATGTTCGAATGGATGTGGCCTTGTTGGAAGAAGTGTGTCACTGTGGGGGCAGGCTTTGAGGGTTCCTAAGTTCATGTTACTACCCGGGGTCTCCATCAAATTCCTGTTGCCTTCAAGCCAAGATGTTGCCAGCAACACATCTGTCTGCATGCTGCCATGCTCCCCCACACAATGATAATGGAGGAACTGAACCTCTGAAACCACAGCAAGACACCACAATTAAACATCTTCTTTCTGAGAGCTGCTATGGTCATGGTGTCTGTTCACAGCAACATTCTTTCCATAAAACACTGGGCAGATGCTTAAAAGTAAAAGACAAGTACTGACAGCTAAGCCAAAAACGTAGGCTGGGTCCCATCACTGTGCACAGTGAGACACTCGACCTGTTTGCTGTGTAGAAAAGTAAAAGTACTCACACACCCAGAGCCATATCTGTTTCAAAGAAAACACAGGCCTTGGAATAAATTGCTAATAGTGGTTATCAAGAAGTTTTTATTCCTTTTTTAAACTAAATTCTTTAAACAGTATGAGAGTTTCTATTTTTATTTTATGTGTCTGGATGTTTGCCTGCATGTATTTCCGTACATCACAAGCACAGTGCAGCAGACTGAAAGAGGGCACTGATGTCCTAGGGTTTGCAGTTACAGACAGCTCACAGCAGCTAGGTGGGCAAGAAGTAGCATTGTTAAGCAATGAGCCATCTCTTCGGCTCCTACAATTGGAAGATTTTACTTGTTCGCTTTAAAAAATATTTTTCAATGAATCATTGGATAATCTTTAAGTAATAGCAAAGGCTGCAACCAGGGAAATAACATGAAGTTGCTTATCTATGTAATGTTTAATACCTTTTGCAGTTCTTAATCAGTTACTTGCAATTATGACAAGTACTAGAAAGCACATTTTAACAGCATGAATTCCTTGTAAAGGGCTCACTCAGCTATGGGCTGCTGGGAGATAGCACTTATTGCCTCTCAGAGCACCTACACACCCTGCAGTCAGTCACAGGGAGAAGTTTTCAAGCTGCTAGCTCCTTGGAGTTAATCAGCTACTTTTATACATTAACATTAAGAGAAAACCAAACTCTTCTGAGCTTCAACTTTTCCACATAAGAGATTCTATATTCTTAATTGCTCAGCTGGTAGCAATGGATATTAGTCAGTTAATCGACCATTAGTGAGGGCTGGGGACACATCCCAGTGACAGTCATTGACCATTAGTGAGGGCTGGGGACACATCCCAGTGACAGTCATTGACCATTAGTGAGGGCTGGGGACGCAACTCTGTGACAGTTAATCGACCATTAGTGAGGACTGGGGACACAACCAACCAAGTGACAGAGTGCTTGCTCTACATTTGCCCTGGGTTGGACCCCAGCACTGAAAAAAAAAATTCAATAGTTTTGACAATAGATATTTACAAAGTATTATATAGACCTTGTCCAATTAGTTCTAAATTTTTTTTTTTTTACCTTTCCTTCAATAATCCGATAAACTAAAGAATTCATATCTTTTGCATTAAAAGCGTGCTTCAGGGTGGCCATTTCATAGACACAGCATCCCAAAGCCCAGACATCAGACTACAAGAGAAAAACAGTAAATGGTTAAATGTTGAATATCTTATTTACATTTTCTTCTCAAAACAAAACATACATTTTCTTCCAACAAAGTCATACTTAATTCTGATTAACTACTCATATGGACTCTGAAATTCTGATACTCTCTCAGAGACAAGGTCAGGCAGTACACACCTCGACAGCTGTATCCATCCTACCTTATAGTTGTAGGGCTGGTTTGAGAACAGCTCAGGGCTCATGTAGTAGGGAGTGCCAATGAGAGTGCTCGCCATGTCGCTCTGGTGCTCCAACACTCGGGCAATACCTAGGTCACCCACCTTGATGATGTTTGTTCTTGTTAAGAAGACATTCTGAGTTTTCAGATCTCGATGAAGGATGTGTTTCTCATGTAAATACTGAGAAGACAGAATAAGTTTTCATTATATGTAATATACTAATTTATTTACTTATTTCAATATACTACCAGTAATCACTTAAAGAGCATTAATTATCTGCCAATCAAAACATCACTGCTGTATGGAGAGATGGGAGAGAACAGAACCGCCAGCCCCAGCTCTCCAGTAAGATGAGACCATGTGGAAATACATAGATTAACAGAAATGGGCTAATACTTAAGACAGAGCTAGCCGATAAGAAACAAGTAACTGGCCAACAGAATTATGTCAAATACAGAGTCTCGGTGTGTTAATTGGGGCTGGCGCGGCGTTGGCACGGCGGTGGGACAAGACCAGTGGCAGGAGGAAAAACCTTACTCCTTACAGCTGTATAAGCTCTAAATAAATAACTACTTTACAACTTTCAAAGTAAGAAGGGCGTTCCAGAGGCTGGGAAGATGGCTCAGTCGGCAAAGTGCTTGTCACATAGCATGAGAACCTGAGTTAAATCACCAGCACTCAGTGCCCTGAGGAGGTAAAGACCAGAGGATCTCTGGAGCTCACTGCCACATGAGCAAATTTCACAGTCAATGAGAAAAGCTGTCTAACACTTTCACATCAGGCTTCTACACACATACACACATATGTACATATGTATGTGCATACATTTATGAATGTATATGCCAACACATAAAATTAAGTTCCACATATTAGTTGGTCTGGTACCTTCTGCAATTATTTCCTGATGCCTTGACAATTGTATAATTTTTTATAATACCTGGATCTATTAAAATATATGCGTATAAACCAGGCATGGTGGTTTAGGCCTTTTAAGACTAACACTTGGAAGGCTCACACAGGAGGACTGCTATGATTTTGAAATTACCTTGAGCTATAGAGTGAGTTCCAGGCCAATCTAGACTTAAGTGAATCATTGTCTCCAAGAAAAAACTAAAAACTTACAAAACTCACACTGAAGGTAGAACTTGTCGAAAGTCAGACCTATGAAATCCTAGACATCATCACTATTACTTTTACCTCTATAGAGCATGTGAGAATTAAAACAAGATCAATCAATTCCAGGCCTGAGTGAGACTGCAAAAACAGTCTCACTCAGGGGATGTGCATATTAAAACACAAATCTTTTCTGCATTTATATCCACTCTACCACAGCAACAGGACAAACCTGAGCCATACTATCAGAATATTAACTAGACCAGCCATCTTTCAATATGATATAGCTGATCAACCAGTAAGACACATGGTCATCCTTTGTTCTTTGTCAATTCAAGTCTCTTAAAACTGACTTTGCTTTAAATATTAAATGCACAAAGAATTTGTATCTTCTGTAATTATATACTAAATCCATGTCTACTTTACCACAGACATCACTCACTCAGAAACATCCCAATGCTACAGCAAGAGAGACTGATTTACATCTAAGGAGATTTCAAAAAAAAACATTTCCCCCCATGCAAACATGTGAAAAGATGTTTTCCTAAAATATACACCCTGGGGCTGAGCCATTCACATGTCAAAACAAGGCTGCTTTTACATCACAGCATGCTGGGTAAAGACCAAGGCCTCTGGTGCCTCTCAGCAAGACCACAAAGATGTCAACAAGTCCCAGTTGTAGTCACCATGCACTGCTGTAGAAAATGCCACTCTCTAAAAAGCAGCTGGGGTGAGGGGTAGGCATCAACAAAGTGCTTACTGTGTAAACAAGAGGCTTGAATTTGAATGCCCCCACCCATGTTAAAAAACAAAAAAGGCAGGGCTGGAGACATGGCTCAGTGGTTAAGAGCACTGGCTGCTCTTCCAGAGGTCCGGAGTTCAATTCCCAGCAACCACATGCTGGCTCACAACCATCTGTAGTGGGATCTGATGCCCTCTTCGGTCATAAAGTGGCACACACAGATAGAGCACTCATGTACATAAAATGAATAAATGTTAAAACACACATACAGCATACAGAAAGGGGGGGGGGCTATGTGTGGCAGAGGACACAGAAGCAGAGCAGGCTCAACTCTCAGCCATGCCTACCTTACACATAACCAGTCCCAGGAAGAGACAACTGACACTGTAAAACTTATTCCTCAGCTAAATTATGACATGTCTATGTAAGCACCCGGGTATGTGCCCCATCCATGAATGAATCTGACTTGATGACCCCTAAACGACCAGGGCACCATGATACTAAAATCCTGCCTAACTGCCCATGTGGTGATGACATCCTAGCAATCAGGAGGCAGAGGCAGGTGGACATCTGATTTACAGGACAGCCTGGTCTACAGAGAAACCCTATGTTGAAAAACTAAAAATAAACAAAAAAGCCCTCCCCCCCCCAAAAAAAAACAACCCAACACCTAAAAATATTACAGTAAAATTTCTCTCTTTACTTTTGACTGCTGTGGCTATATCTCAATAAATTTAGTAAATTATACTTTTTCTGTATTGGTAAAAATCATTCACAGCCTACGGGTTACTAGCCTATCATATCATCCCTGGCATAGGAAAATATTCCTTCAACTTTCCTGCCACATTGGAGCCTACAGGAGTCTATAAGTGAGATAGTACCTGCAAAGCCATGGCGATCTGGACAAACCACTCCACCACCTGACTCTCGGGCAGAAGCTGCCCCTTCTGTTCCTTGAGCTTCCGGTACAGGTCGCCTCCTTCGCAGAAGCCCATGACGATGTACAGCAGTCCATCTCCTCCCTCCCAGGACTCTTTGTAGGTGACGATGTTGGGGTGTCTCAGCTGGGACAGAAGCTGAGCCTCCTGCTCCGCAGCTCGGCGCTCTCGGCTGGAGGCATTTCGGAGGTTCAGTTTTTTGATAACGTACTAACAAAGAAAATGTATACTTTCACAAGGTGCAAGGAAACAGGGTTCTCTAGGTTCAGAAGTAGCTAAGAGTTCTCACGGATGTCCGGCCCTCAAAAACCGCCTTCTGGAGCCTATCAGATAACCTACTGGCTTGCTTTCAAGTGGCATGATATTGCCAGAGGGTACAATGAAGAGGAAGTGGTAGGGGGGCCAAAAAGCATAAAGCTGGCCTCGTGGTGGTGGCGCACCTTTAATCCCAGCACTTGGGAGGCAGAGGCTGGAGGAGCTCTGTGAGTTCAAGGATAGCCTGGTCTACAGAGTGAGTGTCAGGACCGCCAGGCTGTTACACAGAGAAACCCTGTCTCGAAACCAAACAAAAAAGAATAAAACTGGGGGAAAATATTTGCCATTAACAATTATGTTATTTTTTTCTCCAGTTTTGAGCTCAAACTCCAGGCCTTTGCACATGCTAGGGAAGAGCTCTACTAATTATTCAACCTAATGATTATTTTCCTAAGCCTGGTTTATGCTCATTCCAGGTCACAAACCAGCAAGCCACCTTTTCCCTCTGCATTTTACAATTATCTGCACTCCCAGATACTTTGAAGGCTAAGGCAGAAGGGTTACTTATGCCCTGAAATTTGAAAACCAACCTGGACAACAAACACAGTGATACCCTATCTCAAAAAAAAAAAAAAAAAAAAAAAAAAAACCCACAAAACTAATGACTAAAAAGTGAATCATGAATCCAAGATAGCATACTATTAGACAGAAAAGACCCCTTAACCTTTAAATTCTCCCTATAAAAGGCATTAAGATATAGCTTAAACAAATGCATGAAACACATTAGATACTCATGGTCCAATAAAGTTAAAGTATCATTGGTCCACCACAAAGGGTATCATCCCCATTTAAAAATAAAATCCTTTACCATCTAATATACTGCCCTAAATCATCTCAAACCTCATACACTCATTCCTTCAATGAACACATATATAAATGTGTTTCCTGAAGTACAAATTACTACTCAATTCCCTGGGGGTGCCTAATGAATTCATCTCTTATGAGAAAGCTTGTGTTCTAGGTAGAGAATCTAGCATGTGAGGAGAGTGGGTCCTATTCTTGGAGTATGGGGGCTTTCTCAGCTTTTTGTTGCAACTGGTTTGGAAGTGTTAAGTGGTGCCACTTTTCAGATTCACAAGTGTCCCCATTTATGCAAAACATTCTATGGACACCTGACCGAAAACCATACTGAAGAAATGGTTCATTAGCCTTTGGGTCATGGGATAGAATACACAAAGACGGAGTAACATCAGATTTGAGGTCCAGAAAGATTACTGCAGCAAAAGGGACGGGGTAGAGAAAAGAAAACAGGCGACAGGGACTCCTGTGGAAGCAGTGGGCATTTAGTTATTTAAAGAGTGGTGTCCTGTATGGGGGCAGTAACGACAGAGATGAAGATGCTGGTTTGATCTTCTGACAGTAATACACACAGCATCGAGAGCATTAAAGAAAACTGAGGCAGCCGCATGGCTGTTGATGAGACTCACTGAAACAGAGACCTTGAGAAGTGCTGTTGGAAAGGATGAGTTTTAAGTAGGGCAAGCTGCACGAGGGATGGTGCTCCACAGGTTAGGCCCCGAGAACGCCTGTCCTCGGCTCTCATAAAATGTTAGAGGTTTGCAGACAAAGTACACACAGTGCTTGGAGCTACTGTTACAGAGGCAGTTAGCACGCTGACCTCCTAGATGAGCCCCTGCGCACCACTCGGGACCCACTTTTTGCCCTCAGAGCACCCCTCCCTCATCGCCCGGGGCTGGGTCCCGAATCCCCGACCTGCTTGCCGTCCCGCCGATGCTTCACGAGCGTCACCTCCCCGTAACTGCCCCTGCCCACGGCCCGCACGTAGCAGTAGGTAGACTGGGGCATGTTCCCCGAGGCAGCGGGAGGCCCCGCTCATGCCCGACCCGAGGCGAAGTCCTCCATTAACGCGGCCCAAGGAAGCCAGGAGCTCAGAGGCCCGACCCACCCGGACGCCGCTACCATAGCAATACAGGCGGTGCAGCCCGCGCATGCTCAGGGTCGGAAGGCCACCATAGAGCCGACCTAGCAGCAGCTAGAGCGGCTCCAAAGCCTCGGGAAGACCTACCATTGAGCCGTCATTGGAGCGGCCAGAGCGGCTCCGCAACCTCGGAGGACCCGCCACAGAGCTTCGCTCCTGGGAAGCCAGAGCGGCTACAGAGCCTCAGTTACTGCGGTTTGGGTCTGCGTTTGTTCCATGAGTCCTTACTGGTTGTAAGAGCGTTAAGAGTATGATTCGTTCGTTCTACGAATGTTAACCGTCTGTGTGCTTGACTCATGTTCCACTGAAAGATTGGCCGGCTCTAGATTTCACCAATAATGTTCGCTATATTTGTTTTCTTGTGTGACAGTATTCGCCTGCCCTTTTGATGCATTGAGAAATAAGACATAGTCCACATCATCCCTAAAAGTTTCAGCCTGCTTTATTGAGAATTGCAAAGATCTATCACAGAATAATTGCAAAACCACAGTCCCAAGAGACTTAACAAAACTTCCTGCGGCTTCCCCGGGAGCACCAGAACCCCGCTCTTTGAACACCTGTCTGAGAAAGTACTAGCTTGCCAAAAAAGAATCTATTAGCCGACACCTACCTGTTTTGCCCAAATAATTTACTTTTAAAAAGGAATTACTGGTTATTCCTCTGTCCCGTTGAGATATATATATATACATGTGTTTTCTACAAGCCAATAATGTTTTTTCTCCAAGAGAGAAAGCCTTTTGAAATGAAGTCATCAGAAAGTTCAGGCAGCTGTTTCCCAGTTTGTGAGGGAAGATAGGATCCCATCTTCTATAACTGACAACTGCCAAATACAGCTTAATTACTTTTACATCGACTTATTATTATTATTATTATTTTACAGTTGTTGGGATAAGATCTGCCAATGTAACTCATTTTGCAATCCTACTCTTTAGTGTTGGGTTTCCAGGCATGTAATAACATCATGCTCCCAAACCTTTGGAATTTTTCAGTTTTCTAAGAAGCCCCTTTACTCCTCTTTGTTCCCCTCATTATCCATTTTGTTGTTGTTGTTGTGTGTGTTTTAGACAAGGTCTCACTATGTAACTAAGGTTAGCCTGGAACTCACAGAGATGGGTCTGGATCTGCCTCCTGAGTGTGGAATTAAAGTGTGCTACCGTGCCCAGCTCTCATTCTCCTTTTAAAAGGCCCAGTCAGCTCTGCACAATTGAAACAAAGCTCAGCTTTTCTTGCTACTGTCAATAATTACTAAATAAACATCGGTCTCCTCTGCTATGACTAATGTTTGGCTTTGTTTATCTTTAGCAATATCATTAACTAGAATTTAATGTTTATTTATGGTTCCCTCTGTTTTGTTTTCTTATTGAGAGGAAATTGGCATTGCCAAAGAAATGTGCCAACCTTAACTGTGCTAAACTAGATCATTTTGGCAAATGTAATCACTCAACTATAGACCAAGGGATATGGAGAGATTAGAACCCTATGCGTTGCTGATGAGAATGGAAAATGTTTCAGCTTATATGGAAATTGGTATCATTGCTCCTTAAAAAAATTTCACACATAATCCAGACACACACACACACACACACACACACTCAAATTCAAAGCAGGGATTCAAACATATTTGTACTCCTATGATTATATCAACATTCACAAGAGTGAAGGATGGGAACCATGTAAGTTACTACCATTGGGTGAGTAGGTGAAAGTGTGTGTGTGTTATAAGTTGATAGAAGGGGAAGAAAATTCTCACATGCAATAGTGTGGAAAGACTTTAAGGACATTATGTAAATGAAATAAGTTAGTCACAAAGTACAATTATTGTATGATTTCATTATCAAGTATCTACAGAAGGGAAGGAAATTGAGAGACAGCAGGAAGACTGGGGTTGTCAGTGTCCACCATCTCCCCACTCCTACACAGAGAAGAGCAAGTTGGGAGTCAGTGTTTAATAGATGTACAGCTTCACTTGGCAAAAAAATTTAAATATCTGGAGATGGACAGTGGCTGCAAACATGTAAGTGTACTTAAACTGCTAAAGTGTACACTTTGAAATGGTAGCTGGAAGTAGTGAGTTAAGTCACTTGCCGGCAAGGTTGATGACCTGAGAATGATTCCCTGGCTCACACAGTGAAAGGGGAGAACCGATCCTGAAAGTTGTCCTATGACCTCTGCTTACACACACACACACAGGAAGAAAGAGAGAGAGAGAGAGAGAGAGAGAGAGAGAGAGAGAGAGAGAGAGAGAGAGAGAGAGAGAGAGAAAGAGAATAAACAATTAAGTGAATGGTAAAAATAAAAATACTGGCAAATGGTATGGCTCAACTGGTAAAGGCTGATACTCATCCTAGTGATAAGTTCCAACTTCACGACCTGTATGGTAGGAGAGAATTAACTCACACAGATTGTTCTCTGACCTACACACACACACACACACACACACACACACACACACACACACACACAGAGTGGCATAAGCACACGCACAATTAATAAAAAATAAAAGTAGCTGGGTATAGTGACAGAGTGTGTAATCTCAGAATTCAGGAGGCAGAGGCAAAAGAATTTCCAATTCAAATTCAGCTTGAACTATCTTGAGGGGGGGGGAGAATAAAGATAAACCTTATGTTTGCATGTTTTACCACAAAAAAATAGTTAAAGTGATTTTACTTATTTATTTTTGTTGAGGTTTTGTTGTTGTTGTTGAGATAGGGCCTCTATCTCCTGGATGTAGACCAGGCTGGTCTTGAGCTCACAGAGGTCTGCCTGCCTCTTTATCATAAGTGATGAAGTTAAAGTTGTACACCATCACACCTGGCCAGTTTTTTAGGATATTAAGTAAGATACGGAGCAACATTTCCAACCTTTCTTTTACTGTCACATTAAGGAGGGTTTTTTTGTTGTTTGTTGCTGTTGTTTTTTGAGACAGGGTTTCTCTGTATTGCTTTGGAGCCTGTCCTGGAATTAGCTCTGTGGACCAGGCTAGCCTGGAACTCAGAAAGATCTTCCTGCCTCTGCCTTCCCAGTGCTGGGACTAAAGGTGTGTGCCACCACTGCCAAGCTACATTAAAGAGGCTTTTAAGACAGCTTTTATTATCAACATCATCATCATTTGTGTGAGTATGAATTTGGAGGCCTGGAATCAAATTCATTATTTTTGTAACAAGATTTCTTACAGTGAGCTCTGGGGATCGACCTGTCTCCATAACCCCAATACTATGGTTGTGCCATGGAATAATCCTTCTCTACACTGTGTGAATAAATGTCATTATGATTGGCTTAATAAAGAAGCTGACTGGCCAATAGCTAAACACAATAAAGTTAGGCGGGAAAGCCAGATTGAGAATGATGGGATGAGGAAGGGTGGAGTCAGAGGAGTCACCAACCAGACTGAGAATGAGTGGAACACACAAAACAAGATAGAGGTAAAAGCCACGAGACTTGGGGCAGCACAGAGATTAATAGAAATGGGTTAAGTCGTAAGAGCTAGTTAGTAACAAGCCTAAGCTATTGACCCAGCATTTGCAACTAACATTAAGCCTCTCAGTGATTATTTGAGGGCACCTGCAGGACCAAAAAACTCTGCCTACAGGGTTGCATACATATGTTACCATGAAAGGTTTTTAAGTTAGTTCTGGGAATCAAACTCAGGTACTCATTCCTGCATGGCAGGTACTTTACCAACTGAGCCATGTTCCTAGGCTCTAGAAAGCTTTTTCTTTTTCCAATGAACCTTTAGTACCACAGATATACTGTATATGCTTTATATACTGTTTATGTATTGTATGCTACAAACCACTGTGGTAATATAGGGGTTTTTTTGGGGGGGTTGATGGCTTGTTTTGTTTTGTTTCTCTCCAAGACTTAATATTTGCTCCATCCAAGACAACAAATATTTTACATTTTACTTTTCCCTAAAAAAAAAAAAAAATCTTTTTTCCTTTTTTTTTCTGTTTGTTTTTTTGAGATAGTGTTTCTCCATATAGCCCTGGCTGTCCCAGAACTCACTTTATAGACCAGACTGGCCCCAAACTCAGAGATCCACCTGCCTCTGCCTCCAGAGTGCTGGAATTAAAGGTGTGTCCCACCATGCACAGCTCCTAAGTGGACATCTTTGTCCTTCTGGGGACTCTTTTCCTTTCTTGGTTTCTAGAACATTCCTGGTTCTCCTACTGTCCTTTGACTTCTCCTGCTTCTTTGAGGTTTGATGTCTCCCAGGCTTCTGTGTTGTGTGTATCTCTGCTTTAAAACAGAAAGACAGGCAGGCAGGCAGGCAGGCAGGCAGACAGACAGACAGACAGATACCTATGTGCTGTGTGGGTTGGGAATAGGTGTCTAGGGAGTAAGTCTGTCTTAATTAAGGTTTCTTTTTCTTTCTTTCTTTTTTTTCTTTTTTTCTTTTTTCTTTTCTTTTCTTTTTTTTCTTTCTTTCTTTCTTTCTTTCTTTCTTTTTTTTTTTTTTTGTTGTTGTATTTTCGAGACAGGGTTTCTCTATGGTTTTGGAGACTGTCCTGGAACTAGCTCTTGTAGATCAGGCTGGTCTCAAACTCAGAGAGATCCACCTGCCTCCGCCTCTCCAGTGCTGGAATTAAAGGCATGTGCCACCACCCCCGGGCTCTAGTTTCTATTGCTGTGAAGAGACACCATGGCCACAGCAACTCTCATAATGGAAAGCATTTAATCGAGGTGGCGGCTCGCAGCTTCAGAGGTTTAGTCTGTTATCATCATGGCAAGCAGACATGCTGCTGGAGAAGGAGCTGCACATGTTAACATGCAGGCAATAGGAAATAGACTGAGACGCTGAGGTATCTTGAGCATATATGAGTCCTCAAAGCCCGCCTCCACAGAGGCACACTTCCTCCATCAAGACCATACCTATTCTAACAAAGTAGTAGTGCCACTCCTTTTGGGGGCCATTTTTTTTCAAACAGCCACAAAGTCTTACACTGCCGGCCCCATAGGGACCATGGATTAGGTGAGACAAAACTGAGCTGGGACCAGACCACACAGTG